ATTCTGGGTAATTTTAACTATTTGTAATTATTTTAATTAACTGGAACGTGGCTATCTTGGACAAAGTGAAGTTTTGTGTGTTGGTGATTTCTTTTTCTACTATAAATGCCTCTGATGATGGCTCCGTGGTGAGCCGAAACATGTAAGGCAGGTGCTGACGAGGTGGAAAACTTAAAAAAGTGTCACATTTGACGGAAGAAACTTGATTGTTAATTGGTTAGTGTGACGGACCAGAATGAAAGACCTTAAAAATATTAAACAACATATAAACTTAAAAAAAAAAGCCCCGGTTAAGCCGCAAACCGGTTAATCCGCCCCCGGATAATCGAGAGTTGACTGTATAGGATTTTCTGACTGAAGTATGGATTAAACCTTTGATTAAACACATTAGATGAAAAGACTGAATGGCTTGATAGGGCTTCTCAAGAAATAAGTATATGATACACTTTTCTAGTGATCCAATTTTGATCTTAAAGTACCTATTAATGTAATTTAATACTATTATATATATTTATAAGTTGTCTCTGTATTAGTGAACTAGATGCATGATGAATTATTCTGTAAGCTGGGAATCTGAAAAGATATCATGAAGTATAAAGGGATCTGTAAATCAGATATTATTTAACAAAAGTTAATCAACTCTGTCCAGTGATTTACCTTTTGTAAAAGTTTGATTTGTTAGTGTGATGGACCAAGATGAACCAAATCAAAGATATTATTTCTTTTTGATCTAAAACTGTACTTCAATTTCATAAATATATAAAACAGTGTCTCATCATATTTGTCTTTTTATTTAGTTGAAGTTGGTTAAAAAAACATGTTGTTGATTCTGATGTTTATAGTCTTTGCTGGATGAGCCAGAATTTTCCAAGTTGGCATACTTGGGTGTTGGAGCTCTAGGTGGCCGATATTGTGCTCAACACAGTTGTGAAGGGGTCCCTGAGTTTGATGCATTTTTAGAGAAGTTGTCAAAGCCTGTGAGTGGTGGCTGCAAGTCTTCTAGCTGGGATGAAGAACTCAAGGTAAGACATCTATATAAAACAGCAGTAGAAGAAGATATTACAAAGTCTGTTAACTTTTCTGCCACTAAGAATTAAAAAGAAACACCTTATGGGAGAGAAGCAATAAGAGAGTATGAATTATGAAAATAAAGTTCACTAACTGACCACCGTATGCTTGCCATGGCAGCAGAGGATGGAAACATCAGTATGGTTTGATGATGTTGGCATATCAGCATTTCTCAGTTGTGTTGTTGCTATATTGCAGTCTCTTTCTGAGTGGCATCTATTATTATCTGAGTGTGTTTTGCTGTGCCGTCATGAGGATGTCAGAGCTTGAATTAGAGCAATGAACAAACATTAGATTTCCTGTTAAACTTGGAAAGAGTGGAGGCAAAATCAGAGAGATGTTAGTGCAAGTTTACAGGGATAATTCTATAAAGAAAACAGGAGTTTACAAGTGAGTGACACTCTTTTTTTCTGAGGGAAAAGAAAGAGTGAGCAGTGAGCAGTACTGAAGAAAACATTGCAAAAGTTCTTCAAATTGTACGTGAAAATCATCGGCTGACTGTCAGGAGCATAACAGAGTAAGCAGACATTGACAGAGAAACAGTTAAGGAAATCTTAACTGAAGATCTTGACATGAGGAAGGTGTGTGGAAAAATGGTCCCAATTTTTAATTCACTCCACTGTTATCAGTGGAGTGAAAAATCATGGTATCATGTCTTGTGCTGCAGACCTGTGGCTAGAGACAACAAATTACTTTTATATGTGTAGCAAATTAAATAAAGAGGTGTGTAATTAATTTTATTTAGGTGCTGGCTTCTTTGAAAGCCCTTCACAATGTTCACCATTTGAATGATGCCACAGCCAACAAACTACGTGCCTGTGCTCTTGATGTCAGTCTTCCAACCCGAGTCAGAGTGGCAGTCTTGGATGTCTTTCAAAGTGATGCCTGCCGAGTAAGTTCACTGATCTTGACAATTTCCTCTTTCATAATTAGAGAACTTCTGCAGTAGTTTGGTTCTGATATTTTTTCGAAATAGAAACTACAGTAATAATAGAGACAGTTTTAAGGCCTTTAAAACGTATTCCAGCAGTACTTTCCCTTCTTGTTTTAACTAAAATGTTAAAGCTGTCAATAGGTCATCCACTCTGTCACCTAGACAGACTCCCACATAAATACTATAGCAAAAATGTGATGTTTTGTCTTGTATTGTGTTCCTGTAAGTGATTTTCTCATTCACATAATTGGCACAACTCATTATCAAAACGTGCCTGACAATGGGGAGTTTACTGTATATTGAAATAACAGACAGGAGAAATGGGAGGTCACCGGAATTAATATGAGCCACAAACACCTTATAAATTCAAGAGGAGAGCTTTTTGGATACTTCCAGATTCTTTATTATATTTGATGGAAACCTCAGGAACCCAATCCGAAGCTGTAGAAGGCCAAGTTGCAAACTCTCAGATGTGATCATTACCTCATCCCACTGAAGGAAACTAGTATAGCCCTTCATGTATCCATGTTAAGCAAATACAAATTAAATTCAACCATAACAATTACATAACTTGGTATAACTTTCCCTGCTTGACACAACAACCAGTGACCCAACATATTTTATTTCATTAACTCACCACTCTGCCAAAATCAATTATATATAGTCTCAACACTGACAGCATAATTAAATAACTAACACAATAAGTAACTTTCTGGGGTACGCGATAGCGTGGTGGTTAAGGTACTATGCTACAAGCTGGAAGGTCGTGGGTCCAAGTCCCAATGAGGTCATTGGATTTTTTTCAATTGACCTAATCCTTCAGGCCGCACTAGGCCCTGGGGTTTACTCAGCCTCTAACAGAAATGAGTACCAGGAATTAATTAAATAATTTTCCTGGGGAGTAAGGTGCGGCCGGCACGTAAGGCTGACAACCTTACCGCCATCTTTGAGCCGATTAGTAATAAATGAAGTTAAATCCCACAAAGACCACACAATTTTTCTCTTCTCCAGTACCTGACCAAATCATTGTTAAACTGCCTCCACAGAGTGACTTACAACATTGATTACTCTCATCACCACAATCTAAATATGACCCTATGTAGCCTCTCATGCTATGGCCTTAAAGTCTTGATACAAAACTCCAAAATATATGGGTGAGAGTTACGAGGGTTATGGTACACCCATCAGTCTTCTTCTCCTCCTGTTGATACATCTTTCAGATGGTCATCACTACAGTGTCTGCAGTAAATCAAGTTGGGTCATGCCTAACATGAGTTTACATCATATTTCTGCTTCACTGTTCTTGATTTTCTATCTTATTTCAAGCTTCCTACAGAGGAACTACCTACTTGTAACCATGGACATTTCCATCTCTCTAGTCAAGGTACATTATTTCCACCTTCAGTCTATCAATATCTCGTGTCTGTCTTCGGCCTCTTATACTCCACTGAGGTGCTCATACCTGCTCATAGACCTCCTGCCTGCAATTGCTCAACCCAAGATGTTCTCCCTTTAATGGGCAACAGAAATATAAGCTGACATAACCAGACTCACTCCCTCCCTCTTTGAAATTCTCACTAATGGTGGTACAGTAACTGGCCATAATTGGACAAAGTGAGAAACAAACCAAATGTACAGCATAAAATTGCTTTTACTAGATTTTTTCCAGACCATCATTTTCACATTTTTCTTTATTTTATTAATACTAGTACCAGACTTTTATTTAAGATGACAGAATTTTTTAACTGTTCCTCATTTATAATTTCAGCTGAAGCAGACTTCTCTGGAAGTTCTGAAGAACCGTCAACTGGATAGTGAACTGAGGATCAAAGCCTTTCTTGCACTTGTAGAATGTCCATGCCACAAGATGGCCAATGCATTGAAGGAGGTTTTGGAATCAGAACCAACCTATCAAGGTAAACCACGAGGAACATCATAACATGAAACATAGATCAGTAGGTGATAAATGGTTAACCTCCATAGCTCATTTATAATACTCATAGTTCCAAATAATTTTCCTCCAAATTATTTGAAACAGAAAAAGTAACAGGGCTTTATAACTATGAGCATTAAGAGTATATGATAATTTGTGCTATTCATTCTGATTCATTATACTTCTCCTGAGGGACAGTCATGGAAATACAAAAATTTAACATCACAGTAATCCACCCACCAAGTCAGCTCTGCAGTAATGCATATAATATGTTCAAATGGTGATTGAAGTAATTTTTAAAGGATGTCTGAAACCCCCATCTCCTGTGATCCTAATTTTTAATCCCACTGTCACTGTATGCTGTGCATATGTTCAGATAAACCAATGTATCATGCTTAATAACACACATACAGCAGTAAAGTATTAAAGAAAAAACATAGAGCAAAGCTTGTTTTACTAATTCATGCTGTATCTTGAATGATTTTTCCGCAAGATTACCTTCATGGAGAGAAATATTATGTCTGTCTGCTTTTCTACTAGCATATATTTATATCTTAGAGATAATATTTCAGTTTACTAACCTGCTTGTTCAGGAATACGAATACATCCTGTAAATATGAATGAATACTAAGGTCCATCAAGTGCAACAAATTTAATGTGAGAATATAAAAGATTGCCTTTACATGTTTCAGCCCCTGCTGGCCATCAACAGAAGGCATAGCCAACGCAGCAAAGAAATGCTTTGCATATGTATTGAACATAGGGTTTATAAAGTGATTTCTAATTGTATAAATAACTTTATGGCAACCTGTGCTCAACATGCACGTAAAGTATTTCTTTGAAGTGTTAGCTATGCTGTATCATGACGATTTATAATGTTACAAATCCATTTATGACAATCTCCGTTCAACATACATGTAAAACATTTCTTTACAGTGTTGGCTATGCCTTCTGATCATGAAGTGTCTCATGTCATTATTTATTTTGTTTCAGTTGGATCTTTCATTGTGTCATACCTTCGCAAACTTCGGGCATCAACAAACCCTGGCAAAGAACATATAAAGGCTGTCTATGGTGAAGTTCGTACCAATAAGAGGTTTCCTGTAGATTTCCGAAAGTTCTCCCATAATTTTGAGTTTTCATATCTTCTGGATGGGCCCAATATTGGTTCCACAGTTGAATCAAATATCATCTATTCTCAGAGATCTTTCCTTCCACGTGCATCAACTCTTAATATTACAACAGTATTGTTTGGACGTCTTACAAATATTTTTGAGGTATGTAAATTGAAAGAAAAAATTAATTAAACAATTATAATTACCATAATTTGTTCATGTTATTTCCCAAGCACATATTTCTTTGTTCTCAATAAACAGGAACTGTACTAAATTAATTTTTTGAATTGGGAACAGTTTTGCATAATTTGTTGCTGACACTTGAGAAAACTGTTATTAAATGCATTGCAATGGAGATAGTGCCAGTTTAAGTATTTAAATGGAATAAAAGCACATGAATTTTTAAACTCTTCTGAATATTTGTCTGACTGTTGTAAATAATGAAATAGGTTATTCAGGTTAATATGGTCACACTTATGTTCTTTGAATACATGTTATGCATTTAATTTAAATCTACTATTACTGATGTTCCACTGTTCTTTATAGAAATATCATATTCCAAGTGATATTTAGTAGAATGTTACAGAAAATGAATGCGTTAAGGATATTTGTGTAATAGTCCACACTCCATTCTCTCTTATATATGGAGAATTTTCTCATACAAGATGCACATATATTAATTGACTAGTCTTTTTTTCAGATGGAATTCCGACAAGAAAATATTGACCTTATTGCTGAGAGGTTGTTAGGACCCAAAGGTTATTTTAATACTCATGATTTACGTGATGTGATAAGAGATGGCAAAGAGAAATGGACTGATCTCGAGAACAGTGTAAAACAAAGGCTGAATCAAGCCATTAGAGGCAAACGATCAGTCACCAAGGAGGCACTGGAAGAAGTTCGACATAAGGTGAGAATTAAATGTGATACCAGTACCTTGGTGGTTGTGAGTCTGTTACTGCTGGGTAATCTATTGATTTTAATTGTTTATATAACTAACATATCTGTCTTTAGAGAGATTCAATTTCTTATTATTGATTATTAACAGTATAATGTTATTATTAACACTATTATCCTATGTGGCACACATGGGACAGATGAGAAATGGATACAAATTTGTAAACTTAATGGGGAGCAGGGACCTCTTGTAAAACTTAGGTATAGTTGATTTTTGGAGCAATGTTTAAATGCATCTTAACTTTAAAGATATGTATGGACTATTATGGAATTTAAGCTGTAAAAGCTAATATATGAAAGTACCAGCTTGGAGATGGTAATTTGGAGATATCATAAGCAGATATGGATGGCTGGATAGTTATTGCCCTGGAAGTAATATTATAAACATAGCACAGCATGGGGCTGTGTCATAAGTTGGGTGGTTAGTTGCCAGCTTCCAGTTATGGCAGCTGAATTTAATGTGTAGATGGAAGCAGTTTCTTGGACTATGACAGCTGTAAAATGCGCAAAAATCAAATCTCTAATCAGAAACATAGGAGTCTCAACTGAAAAGCTAGTGAAAGAAATGATTGAGTTTTTACTATTCTGATTAAATATTAGCCATATTAATAAAATTTAAAATAGACTACAAGCCAGAAGGTCGCAGGATTGAATCCTGATGAGGTCATTGAATTTTATTCAATTTACCTAAACCTTCCAACTGCACTATGGCCCTGGGGTCGGCTTAGCCTCTAACAGAAATGAGTACCAGGTATTCTTGGAATATTCTTGGGGGTAAAGGGCAGCCGGCACTTAGGGCTGAGAACCTTACCACCATCTATGAGCCGATTGTCTAGAAAATGTGGGAACCTCAACATCTCACAACCCTATGGGTCTCCAAGGCATGTTACAGGGATACCTTTACTTTACTTTACTTACTTTTTTACTCTTCACTTCTTATATATTGAAACACCATGTATTTCAAGAATTTATCATTCTTACTGAAATTCTCATATTTATGTTGTTTTACATATCATACACTTGAACTGAAATGCCCAGTGGGGAAATCTCCATACAGCTAGAGCTACTAGGCTCTGCTGTTTAAAGGTTAAATGAGGGTGTGGACTGGATTCTTCTGGCTCAGGATAGGGTCCCGCGGATGGCGCTTGTGAACATAGTCATCAACAAGTACAGTCTTCTGGGTTGCAATGACATGTAGTTCAGAGAGAGTCCAATGTTTCAGAGAACCCTAAGAACATCAAATTCAGCATAGTCATAAACTTTCAGTTTATATAAAAATGGGGAATTTCCTTACCAGCTTAATGATTATCACCATCTCAAGCTGGTCATTATTCCATCGAGTTAGTTATCAATATATAATATTTAAATATGATTAAATTCATACACAAACCACACCATGAATGACATGTGATTTCTGGGAGTGCATCAGTATTTGCTTGTGTAATTGAACTTAAGTTATGTCAACATTGACATGCGAACTTTTAGGTAATTTGCTGTGTAAGCATTAGAATAGTTTTTAACATAGTTACAATGAGAAGTCAAATTTATTTTGATAGATATATGTATATAATACAAACCTTATATCTTTAACTTCTGTTAATATTTCCTTCTCTTTCACAGTCTCTAACACCATATCATGCAGAGCCTGATCAGGAACTACTCTTAGAATTATCAGCAAGGCTGTTTGGTGCAGAGGTTGGCTGGTTCACCTTCCATCATAATGCCAGAGATGCAGCAAAAGAACTTTTTGACAACACCTTTGATCTTGTGGATAAGGTTGTGAAGAAGGCAAAGGACTTTGATGTGAGTGCATGAGTTGTTTTATTTCACTTGCAGTTCTTACTCTGTAATGTAGCTCAGTATTCAGAAGCAAATGATATTTTTTCTCTCATGTTTTCTTTCCTGTTTACTGGTTAGATTATAACATGAAAAATATTGCACTGGTAAAATTTATTATTCAGAAATTGTAATGTGTTTTAAAAGCAATGATACAGAGTCTTTCTTGCAAGGCTGAATCAAGTGTGCCCAACCATGAGAAAACCATGCAAGTAGTAGATGAATGTACTCTGTGTGATACATGGACAAACAGAGGTATGGTCAACTGCATTACTACTCAATTCTATGTTATTGTGTATATTGTACAGCTATCACTGCAACTGCAGAGCACTCAGTGTAATGTGTATCAGTTCTCTTTGTGTTTCGGTTCTCAAAATTAATTCAGAATTCTGTTGCAGTATGCAATTTAGATAATGAAATATACCCTTGAACAGCAAATCTTTCTGTATGATATTTATGTGAAAAATGAATAGCATAAATCACGCGAAAAAAGGTTTCAACATAAGCATCCTGGTCTCTGTGCTCCATCTTTATCAACAATTTTCAAATTGATGAAGAAAATATGTTCAACTGTTTTCTTTTTCTCAGGCAAGAAATGCACTAGACAGAATGCTGTCCTAACCAAAGAAAAGCTTGCCAAAATTCAAACCAGATTAGAACATTTGCATTTGCTTCCCTCTATGATATTCTACCAGTCTCTATACCCTACCGATAAATGGTGCGTACTATCAGTCCCGCCGAGCAAGCAAGTTCGGCCACTTGGTTAGCGGTGTCTATAATGCTTCCCCCATCTATCAGAGGCCTTAGAGACTATTGTTGGGCGGGAAACGTCCTGGAATTTGGCTCAATGATCCCCTTTGGGGATATGAGGTTCTTTTATATGCCGTAAAGTTACGACACGGGACACACAGCTTAAAGTCCCTCCCGGAGGACTTGTTCCCTGAATTTTTCGGCCCTTAAAAATTCGACGACCTCCGCCGGGTATTTGAACCCGCGTACCATGAGTCATGAGGTGGGAACGTTACCTCTAGACTACGGAGGCCGCTGTCCCTTAGGTACAGTGAGATCCTTGCAGCAGATAAGAACAATATTCATAAAAATTATATTGGACATCTTTCTACTTAAAATAAATACAAAACTGCTGTAATCAATTTATGACATTTTTCTTTTGTAGAGGGAGGCATTCAGATACTTTTGAAAGCTAATAATCCATTTGTAATGAAAGTTCAAGTTTTTATGAAATGTAATGCTTAGTTGTCAAAAAATAGTAGCTGGAGTTTGTAACTTACCTCCGAAGTAGAGGGTACTGCTACAGCAGTAGAACTTTCACAGAAAAATGTGTTCTTCCAAGCACTCTGAATACTGAACTGAAGAACACCTGAAATTTACTGGAGGCAAAACTCATAAGAGGAGTGGGAGATATTTAGGAAAATAAAGGATAGTTTTTCCTGGCACCCATTTCATTAGGACTTTGCCTGCTTACCAGTACTTGGAATTCCTGGATCTAAGTAAGGAACACAAAAACAAGGATACTGAGTTCTGTTATTATATTTACTGACCATTTGGCATTTTTATTTCTTTTCGTATTATTAACAATTTTATTTTAGAAGTGAAATTTTCATGGCTCGCTTAACAGTTTCAATGGCCTCCAATTGTTCTGACTATAGTTTTTGGCATCTCCAAAATATGACATGGCCCCCATTGGGAACCTCTGTGCTAGACTGCTTTTTCTTGGCAGATTACAATTAAGTTTCTGGCTAACAGGCCAATGGTTGAGAGTCGAGCATCTCAGTCTTTTGAGGTAGACTCTGTATTCTGATAACCAGTTTGGTGCTGTAAACTTTCATACAATACAGCTACAGAGTAATATCCTACAGCTCTGTGATGATGACACACCAGAGCTTCATTTTTCTCTATGACTTTCTTCCAAAACATTCTCCACTCCAGTAAGTATTTAACAAGTCACACTTGAGACGCTTGAAGAAATACATGTAGGTATTCATGGAATATGTCCATTTTTGTTGTCTGATTGTATTGAGAATTGTACCAACAAATTTTCTTAGAACTTCCCAGTGCCAACTTTCATAAAATTCTGTTGAGTAGTTCTCAAGTCATTACATATGTCAGATGAATGGACAGAGAGGCATGACCAAGCTGATAATCACATTTTTGCAATTATTCATTGTGGATGCTCCAAAAACTTCATTCTAGAGGTTTCTTCATGTGACTGAAAACTTTAATTGAAGGGTTAATAATTGCAGTAGACATCAGTATATTTAAAAAAAATTATGTACATCATTATTTACAAGTGCTTATGGGCTTACTGGCCTCAAACTGAGCTGCAATTAAGGACATGAAATAAATTAGATTATTAAGTTTAATTTGAAATAAAAACCTTATTTTTCCCCCTCTTCTAAATCAAGTGTCTTGCCTTGTATTTTTATATTGCCAATCTTACAGGCTGCTATTATTTATGATCTCTATTTAACTGCTTGAAAACATGAGATGTTCCAAGAATGCAGCTAGTTGCAGTGTTGTACTGTAAACACATTATGCATTAGGCACATTGTGTAATTTATCATGTCACTAATTGTTTGACTGAAGGTTATTAGTAATTTAATGTTAATGCTCATAAACATAACATAGGTTGATTTGTATCACAGTATAATAATCTTATCTGAATACTTTTCATTTTAGTACAAGTTGAAGCAACACAACACTTTCTTGGATACACAACTTGTGTACCCAACATCACTTGGACTCCCTCTGAAGCTGGTTATTGGTGGCAATAGCGCCATTCATGTAGAACTAGAGGGCAAACTGGATGCAAATGAGTTAATTAACAACTTCAGAAATTCCCATGTTCAACTTAAATTTGTTCCAAGGTAAGAAGCATAACATTTATTTTAGAATATTAGGACATATATTGAAGCAGAAGACCTAGAAATTGTGTGACTTTACTAATCTGTTAGGATAAATAATTCTTTCATTTATCTATAAAATTGGCTTCAGAGGTTTGGAAGGAAACAAAATTTTAAAATGGATCTGTTCTGTTTTTTTATGCAATCTAACATATCGAGATACAGACTGGAGTCTTAAAATATATGTGATTTTTCTTCCAATTGAATGTAAGAGGGTATTACTGCTTTATTAAAATTTATGAATGTGTTCTTAATGTTGTATCTTGTCATTCAGACAACTCTAAAACAGTACATAACTATTTAACTGTTGTTTGTTTACCTCATATCTTTGATCTGTGGCAGGCCCATTTTATAACTTATAAGTTTAATGAAATTTAACTTGAAAATTTGGAAGGAAACATGATTTTAAAAATTAATTCCATCAGTCTATGTGAAGGGTTCACATATAGGAATTTATAGATAAATTCATTATTGCAATTGTTTTCTCTATTGAATAATCCACAGATACTTATAGTCAGTAAGGTAAAGGTAAATTCATTCTTGTACTTAATTAATTAAGCTTAATTGTGCTTAATTAATTAAGCACCACTCTGTGAAGATGTATGGGGGAGTGGGGTTATAGCTCCATCATTCATGACCTCAGCACTAGATTGAGGTGAGTTAAAATGAATGCCAACAGCAGGTAGGATTCCCAAGCCATCACCCATCTGAGCACTACTCATATCCATTGTTGCTTGACTTTGGTGACTGGATGAGAACTGGTGTTTTCAACATGGTATGGCCATTGGCTACTTATAGTCAGTTGAACAAGAAATTAGTAATTTCTGACAGTAGATGAAGCAAATGCTTCAAATAGAGATTTCTGTTATTACTTGTATAATCAGAAATATGAGATCATCTTTCAACAGTTTCTACAACATTAAGTATGCCCTTTCACATCAACTGACATTATTTATTTAGTAGGTCAACATTAAGTTCTCTATATTCCCTTACTCAAATATATCATCTCTAATAATGCGTAATATGTTTTCCATTTCAGTGCTGCTGTGGAACTTGTGGGTGAATTTGTTGTAGACGCTTATGCTGTTGAGGCAGGTCTGAAGGTAGCCGCCACTCTACACACAGCTACTGGAGCAGATATCAATGTAAAGGCCACTGATGGACTTGGACTTGATGTCACATTTGGCTTACCAATCAAAAAGCAGGATGTGATTTCGCTGAAGTCAGAAGTGCTGACAACTGTTCATGAACGTGGTAAATCTGAGGTGGATACTGCTGTTACCTTTACAAATACACCAAGGTAATTACACTGTGGAAAAATTATGTTCATATCCTACCTGAAATTATATATTATGCCTCTGTGTATACAAGACAGCATGTCATTATTTAACATAACACTTTTTATCTTCAGAGATTAAACTAAGGTGAAACCCACAACACTGAATTTATTATTTATTTCAGTCACCACAATTCATGAATGTCATTATACTATATTACATTACAAAATATTTAGGCTTTTTCAACCATCACCAGGTAATGTATGTTTTTACATTCACCTTTGTTTTCCTGCTATTTTCTACCTACATTGGATAGTGTTCACCAATTTTGGTGGCTGAAATAAAAAATACAGTATTTTCCATAATACTGAAATCATGACATTTTTTAACCTAGAGTTTATGAAATTCAGTGGTCCTCTGACATTCTACATATTGTATTTTATTGCACAGAATGCCTGCAAGTGTTCTATGACAAAAAATATTCACATTCGATCAGGAAATAAACTTACAATATATACATCTTTCTCACAAACTAATTATTTGTAATGCCACATTAATCTATTATATCAGACAATTTATCTACTAGTTACAATCATGCTGAAAATACTTTGAGGCAGGAACTCATTTAATTTAAAATTTATTGACTTTGATTTCTGACAAATATTCTTGGACATTCTGTTAATCTAATTTGGCAGGAAATCTTTGAAAACCATACATCTGATAATAATAAGAAACACTTCCTCTGTTGAATCTCTTTGAATGAATATAATGTAATAAATCCACAAAATATCAATAAATAAAATAAAAGGTCCATTATTAAAATTAGGAACATGAAAGATGGAACAGAGCTCTCATTTTAGTGAAAGATCTTCAGGACATGCATGAAGATTGCTTTTCCGGGTCACTTGAGGGCTTATTAAATTATAGCGGCCCTCTGTGACTGTTGTGTTTGCATGGGCATTGTTAGGAATCATCACTCAGATGGATGTTTTTCTTTGTGTGCATCATGATGTTTTTATGGTGTTGCTGATTAATGCATTTTTATAATGGTGGGAGAATTCCAGTTTCCTATAATGATCTGGTAGAAACTTGAACCATTTCAGAGTAATTTACTGCCTCCATCTCTATGGTGCTCTTCATGCCAGTAACAGTTACTTTATATAATTGATTTATTGTGATATTTACTTTTGTTTCTGTGTAATTAACAATTGCATTCTTCTCAAGATAAATTATTGTCATTAACTTTGGTGATCACTTCCTAAACTGCAAGTTCAGTCCTTTATTAAGCAACAAGTGAAAAATTTGTACAACAATTATTCCATTATGAATTTTTTTGATGTTGAGTTGTAAGAGAACGCTGGTAGGTAGTGTATGTATAGATTTCCAAATGATTGTGAGCCATCCAGCATGAGAGGTTGCATTTCTTCTTTCAAATATAAAAGAAAATGTCAGAAGTATGGCTTAATACAAGCCCCAATTGCTTCCTTCCACTCTGCTTAGACTTGCCATTTATGATCATGAAATTACCTAAGATAAATGCAGCACTATCTTCTGCATATCTATTTCATGTCCAAGATTCTTGTTTTGAAATTCTGGTTTGCCTGAAGTAATGATGTATCATGTCTACATAACATCTGATTCCTTGCATTAAGAAAGTGTATTCTATGAATAAGTAACAATATGCAGTGGCACGCACACAGGGAACCTGCACAAAATGACATGTGAATTGTGCTCAAAGCAAGAGGTAGCCACTGCAGCACATATAAGCATAGAGCAGGTATCTCTGTGATTTTGACTTTAAATTTTAAATATTAAGACTAAATTGAGAATTTAAAATTTTAAACCTGTCGATGTATGAATATTAATAAAGATTTTAAACATGATTGACAAAATCAACAAGGGAAGTTCTGGAATATCAGGTATCAATTGACGACAGAGCAATGAACAGTTTGAAATGTGGAGTTTAAATGTTGATATTGAGTGCAGTGTGACAGCTACGTGAAGTGAAATACACCTGATGATGGCTGATTGTGGCTGAAACATGTAATGTGAAAGAAGGGGGACAAGAACTGCAATAAAGTGTTACATTTACGACGGAATTTATATTATATATATAGAAATGCAGAATAATATTAGAATTGATTTATTGCATGACAGGAGGGACTACCATGGATGTTTTGACCAACTGTCTCCTCTCATTGGTCTAACATTCTGTGGAACAATGAGCTTCCCTTGGGATCCAGTAGCAACAAAGGCTGCATTTTACCCTCTCAATGGCCCCAGCAAACTCTCTTTAACAATTGAGAATGAAGACGTCACTAGCTATCACTTCCGTGCTTCTTACAATAACAAAGGTGAGTGTCAATCCATTGACTGCTCTTAGCTTTCAACATCCATGCACGCACAACTGTGCCAACACATGTGCTGGTTCCTCAGTCCCCAGCAGGTCTGTAATGTTTATTGTTTGTAGTGTGTATGTCTTATAACAGGGGAGCACACAATAATGTAGTTGGTTAAGACACTATGCTACAAGCTGAAAGGTGATGGGTTCAGTTCTCGATGACCTAAGCCTTCCAGCTGCATTATGGCCCTGGGTTTAACTCAGCCTCTAACAGAATTGAGTACCAGGAATTAATTAAATAATCTTCCTGTGGAGTAAAGTGCGGCCAGCGCGTAGGGCTGACAACCTTACCGCCATCTTTGAACCGATTGTCTTGAGAATGTGGGACCCTCAGCATCTCACAACCCTATGGCCCTTCACGGCCTGATATGGGAATAGCTTTACTTACTTTTGCTTACTTTATCTCCTAGAATAATCTTAATTTTATTAGATTAAATTAATTTTATATGTATCCATTTACAGAAGTTGTGCCACATTTTTGTTAACTATGCTAATATCAGGCAGGTGACACTATTATGCAGTGTGTGTTAGAACACTACTAGTATGATGTAGTGACCAAAATTTTCTGCTGTGTATTACAGAACAGACAAATGCAGGCATTATTTAATGTAATTTAATGTCAAGTAACTCTTTTTAAGAGGATGAAAAGTGAACAATGGAAGCATGTTTGTAAATAGCTAGTACATAATTTGAGATAACAGAAAAGTAATTGAAATAATTATTAATCCGCATAGATTATCTTATGGAACTTTTGAATTTAAAGTGTGCTATATTACACAATCATGTCATTTGCGTAAGTGCTTTATAAAATTGTTGCATTTCATAATTATTTTAAAAATACTTCATTGTGTCAGACTGTGATGATAGACTTCGTCAGGAGAGTAATTTGAATTTTATAAATGTAATAATGCACCATCAGCAGGAAACTGAAACGGTGTGTCTATTTTTGAAGATGGAAAATCTTATGAGACATAGCTATGCTAACCTTAACAATCATTTGAATGTAACCAAATACAGATGTAACATATGCTATGCTGCATTATTTTTTATTGTGGGAAGCCTATTGAAGAAGGGATGATATATAAATTTTTGCTCATTACAAGCAAGGTCTCATCAAAAATTTGAAAACTGAGGTACTGTCATTATAGGGATGAAGTTTATCCAGTGCACTGTGTTCACTTACTTCTACATCGTAAAACTTTCACCCCTCAAGGTTCTTTTCTCTAAATTCAGAAAACAAACAAAAATAAAAATGCCACACAGTCTGAACTATATGTGCATATCTACTTTCATGTTGAATTTATTGATAGTAGGTTCTCATTTTTGAGAAATAGAGATAGCACCAACACTTGTGAATAACAGTGTTAGTTAGGCTGCCCTGCGGACCATTTTCATGATGCACAAAACCCTTGTAATAAAAGAAAATCAGCCTCACTTTAGTTTCAATGCACCATAAAACACATTACTGTTATTAGGAAAGATATTTCCGTTGTGATGATTATTGCTTAATGTTAGCTGTGAACTGGACCCCTGTTTTATCACAAGAATCTGTTATTTCTCGGTTTCTGTGTCAGCAGGTATAGAATGAATTTGCCTGAGACATTCCTCATTCCAGACTCTTTAAGTGCCCTTGCTTATGCCTTAAGAAATTCTTACCTCTTTAGCTCTTTCATGAATAATCAGTATGCTTCACCTCCCACTAAATCATGCACTTCACTTATCAGTTTATCAAAATTATGGTCCTCTGGGTTGTGATGCCATATGGTTTAGTAGATGCATACCAAAATTTCAGACTAACCTGCTACCTCCATATTTAAGGTTCCTCCAAATGTTGGTATCCATGAACCAGACAACATGGTTTCACATCCCAGAAAAGACTAATATTGATACACCATTCAGTGAGAACTTCAGATCTCACTTTGGTGTTTCATTGTTTCTGCTGGTTGAAGGATGTCCAGGGTGTTTGTCAATTTTAATACACACTTTCTTCTCTTTAAAAGGACAGAACCACTCGCAGTCTCAAACTTGACTCCTTTTCGCATTTCCAGATGCTATTTGTATGAATTTTTAAGTAGAAGACACCGCCTTTCTAGCCTCATTACATATGTACATGCACTATACTGCATTTTCTGCCATCATTAAATTGAGATTCATTCATTCATCAGTAATCTGTCAGACGACAGGTCCACAGTCTCTTCCAAAATAGTTCCTCCACTTGAGATATGATGGAAATACCCTGACTGTAAATGCTGACCATGAATTTCTGAAGCAATGAAATCAACTGTAAGCACATTTTGACATGCCGAGTATATCAGGAAATGTCTACTGCATCTGCATCCCTAAGAAGTGAAATATATCTGAGATATGAATTCAGTGTGGATATTTTTTGGTCAGATCTCATATATTTATCCATCATAATGTGTCATATTCTCAGGTAATGTAATGCAGACAAATTTGTGGAATGTATATAATTTAAATAACATGCTGCCATAATAGCTGCCCAGCTGATAATACCTTAAAATGTGGTGCTTGCTTCCCTAATACTTATTATGTCCTAAACTCGGCATAAAAATATGAAATAAACATATTTTCTTTACTCTTATTTATAACATTGTGTTTTCAATACCTTAGATCCACACAAGAAATCCCTGGAACTGCTGTTAGAAACACCCAACTCGAAAACAGACCGAAAACTTGGCCTGAGTCTGGAACATGTATCACAACCATTCCTGGGAATTAAGGCACAGTTGAACTCACCATGGAAACATCTGACTGGTGAATGTAAGTCTTACCTCAGTTTTACCAATACTAACACTGTCAATGCTGAAATATATCACTCTGATATTGGTACCTCTTCTCTGTATACATCTTTGATGTGTAATATTATTGGTTCTATCATCTCTTAAGAATTCAATTAAATAATTTTCATAATTTAAAAAAAAAGGAATTTGTAAGTTTACATGACAATTAGAAGTGGAATAAAAAGACCTCCATGGCTTTCAGTCCACAAGCAAACTATACCGACTGAATGACCATCGCTTGTTGGCGAAGTTAGTGCCAATTTTTTGGATAGAGGATTTCATGTAATCAGCGCAGTGGATTCCCACGGCTGTTAATCTTGATTTTCTAGACTAGAAGAATGAAATAAAATAAAATAATATCTTTATAATGGTAATTTCAATATGGAGAGGTTTAATAAGAAAATGCTGAGGTTAGCTTTATGATGACACATTTAACATGGATTGAATTGAATTGAATTTATTTACATTCTATAAATCCTAAGCAGGTTAGTACCTTTGGATACAGAACATGTCAAAAGGTTACATACATAAGTACAGGCAATTTTAGCTTAAAAATTAATATAACTTAATTTTACATCATTCTCTATTTACATTGAAGTATTCATCTAAAGAGTAGAAGGAATGAGCATGTAGATAATTCTTTAACTCTGATTTAAACTTTTTAGTATCATTGCCCAAGTTTTTAATACTTTGTGGCAGATTGTTGAACACTTTTATGCCAGTAAAGTAGACTCCTTTTTGATATACTGATAAAGTTGATGAGGGTAGGTGGAAGTTATATTTTTGCCTAGTATTCATGTTATAGACATCAGAATTTAATTTGAATTTATCTTTGTTGTAAACAACAAATAGGAGAAGCGATAATATGTATTGCGATTGAAGCGGTAGAATTTTTAATTTCTTAAATAATTCTCTACATGAATCTCTACTTCTACATCCTGTAATGATTCTTATTATATTCTTTTGTATTTTAAAAATTATTACACTATGTGAAGAGTTCCCCCAAAATATTAATCCATAGTTCATAATAGAATGAAAGTAGGCATGGTAAACCATCTTCAATGTTTCCTGTGACATAAAAGGCTTAATTGATCTCATCGCATAGCAAGCTGCATTTAATTTAGGTATAATTTGTTCAATATGTATTTTCCAAGACAGTGTACTGTCTACATGTATTCCAAGGAATTTTGTATCAAGTACTTTACAGATTAATTTGTTGGCATAACTGATGTCCAGATCAATTTGGTGGTTGTTTTTAGTTGTGAATGATATGTAATGGGTTTTATCAAAATTTAATGAGAGTAAATTGGCTTCGAACCATCTGTTTAAGGCTTCAAATACAATATTTATGTCATTTTTAAAGTTTTCAAATTTAGAGTTCTTAAATATTATACTAGTGTCATCTGCATATAGAATTGGTTTAGATTTATTGTTGATGGTTTTAGATAGATCATTTATGTAGAGAAGAAAAAGTAAGGGACCTAAAATTGATCCTTGTGGAACACCGTGCTTTATAATTCCCCAGTTTGAAAATGCATTATGACTGGAGTTTTTATTATTTATTTCAACTCTTTGATACCTGTTTTTGAGGTATGATTTGATCCATTCATTAGCTTTGCCAGTTATTCCATAGAAATTTAATTTCGATAGTAAGATATCATGATTAACACAATCGAAAGCTTTTGCTAGATCACAGAAAATCCCTCCCACAATTAATCTGTCATTGAGAGCACTTAAAATATCGTTAGTTAGTTCATAGGTTGCTTTTTCTGTTGTTAGGTCTTTCCTAAATCCAAATTGCTCTTTGACTAATATGTTGTTAGAATTTAAGTGTTCAAGTAGTCTATTATACATAACTTTTTCAAAGACTTTTGAGAATGAAGTCAATATGGATATTGGTCTGTAATTAGAGATGCATTTTCTCTCTCCTTTTTTAAAAAGTGGTTTCATTACAGCGTATTTTAAGCGTTGAGGAAAAGTACCTGATGATAAAGATTTATTACATAGATGATTCAAGGGTGAACTGATGTAAACAGAGCTTGCTTTAAGTAATTTGGTAGAGATTTCATCATATCCATGTGAATTTTTGGGCTTAAGGGATTTAATAATGTTTTCAATTTCCTTCCTTGTTGAGAATTTGAGATTGATATTTGGAAATGAATTGTTAAAGGCACGAGACAGATAGTATATTGGATTATTATTATTATTATTATTATTATTATTATTATTATTATTATTATTAGTATTGTTGTTATTGGAATATGTTTTCTCAGCTAATGAAAGGAAATATTCATTAAATGCACTTGCGATAGCTTGTGGATTGTTAGTGGACTTCCCTTCAATATTCAAACTTTGTACGTCTTCATTAACAGATTTCTTTCCTGATTCAACTTTCACAATATCCCAGGTGGTTTTAATTTTATTGTTTGATTTTAGAATTTGGCTGTTATAGTTATTCTGTTTGGCTTCTTTAATGACTTTTGACAAAATTTTACAGTACATTTTGTAGTGACTTTTTAGTCTTGGATCATTACTGTCCCTACTGGCCAAATATAGTTGTCTTTTGTGTTTACATGAAGTTTTTATTCCAATTGTTATCCAGGTGGATTTGTTTTTATTTTCATTTTTGACTATTTTTAAGGGAAAGCTTGAATAAAAGATCCTCAAGTATGTGTTCAGAAAGCAATTAAATTTAGAATCAATATTATTGCTGTCAAATACATTGTCCCATGATTCATTACTTAATTTTGTGACAAAATCTGCCATCGTATGCTTGTTGATTTTCCTTACTGTTTGATATTGTTGATTACTGGGCTGAAGGTCAATATTATTTATTTCTATGAGTTGAGCATCATGATCGGATAAGCCATTTATAAAGGGTCCTACAGTATAGTCTCTTAATTTTGAGTTATCAATGAATATATTATCTATCGCTGAACTAGAATTATTTTGAACTCTTGTGGGAAAGTTAACAGTACTGGAGAGATTGTAAGATGATAACAAAGAGTCTAAATTTAGTTTCCTATTACTGTCGATGAGATAGTTTATATTTATATCACCACAAATTATAAATTCAACTTTTGAACTATGCAGTACATTTAGGATGGTTTCTAATCTATTTATAAAGTGATCGAAGTTTCCAGATGGGGCTCTATATAAAGTCAGTATACAAATATTAGAAAAAGGAGAGTCTAACTTTAGAGCACATGCTTCCAGATCCTGGTCTTTGCAATAATCTTCTAAATTTATTTTAGTAAATTTTAGGTTTTCATGTACAAAAATACTCACTCCTCCTTTCTCCAGTGTTTTCCTACAGTATCTAGCACCTAAATTATAATTTTCTAAGTGAAGATGTTCTAATTCCAGCTGTTTCATGTGATGTTCAGTAAGGCACAGTATGTGTGGAAGATTTGAATTCATGGAGCTTATTAGTTCATTTGTTTTGTTTCTCAATCCTCTTATATTCTGATGGAATATTCTTAGTACTTTATTATTCACTGAATTTAGTAGACTGCAATTACCTTTTCCGATTTCTATTGGTTCACTAACATTATTGTCTGAAAGATTAGTTTCTTTTGCAATTTCTTTTACTTGATAAACTTTACTTGCACTCTTTATCCTAAAAAATGATTCTGAACACCCATGACAACTGGAATGTGTCTGCCCTTAATGCTCTCTGCAATGAGTCGCGTCAGCTTGTCCTTGCCTCGAGGATTAAGATGCAAACCATGGACAGTATGTTCGCTCCTCAATATTGAAGAGACATCAATCGCATCAATGTGGGCCGCGCCGACCTCCACAAGCGAACGCTCAAGCCGAAGATTAATCTCCCTTACACACCTGTTAATCCATGGCTTGTCATGTCGCCAGAAAAGACCAACAAACCTCACATTGGTGTGACTAGTTTTCTGGGCAATGTCACTTAAATCTTTCTCAATTTGATAATTGAGGTTTCTCTCCAAACTGTTACCTGGCCCCCCAACTATAACTACCTGATCTTCCTTACTAAAACCTTTGCACAATTTTCCAATGTCCCCAGTGACATTGCTCAGATCAGCATTGGGCTTGAATATGCTGGTCACAGCATATGCATCTCCCATTGCTTTCTGTAGCCTCTGCCCGATACCCCTACCATGACTGCTACCCAGCACTAGAATCTTACGCTTAGGCTTAGCCTCTAACACAGGCTGATCTATAGCGTCACCATCAGTCTGAGGCCCTAGCATAGCTAGAGGTTCAAATCGATTGGTTAAAGCTAACTTAACATCTAGTGAAGAAGGAACTTTTTTAAGTTTTCTTCGGGAGTTGGACACAGTCCTAAATTCTTCAGGACAATTATCTACTAAATTTAATTCCCCTTTTAAGAGGTCAATCTCAGTTCTTGCAAGTTCCAGCTCCCTTTTCAAACTCAAGATAGTCTCCTCTTGTTTCTTTATTACCTTGGCTTGCACACAGGAGTTGCAGTACCAAGGTAATATGGCCAAATCACTATTGGTGCCAGAACACTCCCAATGAAACCACAGGCCACAGTCCTCACATCCTGTCCCCTGGCTAACCTTCCTTCTGCAGGCCCCACATTTACCTGATAAGTCATTACCCCTTGTGGTCATTATTACCACTTATGTTAACTTATAATTCAGTACTAACTGAAGAGTCTAATTTGTGATTAGAACTTACAAGAGTATATGCTGGCACAAATCTTTTAAGGCCCACTATATACAATGATACACTTATTTTAGGTTAGGCCCACTGGTACACTTGCAATAGTACAAATCTACTTACTAAAGATATAAAATAACACACTTCTTGTAGGTTAGGCCTACTGTACACTTACGAAAATACAAACAACTTGTGTAAGATATAAATAACACTTGTGAAAATACAAATCGACTTCCTTAAAATATAAAATAACACACTCCCTGTAGGTTAGGCCTACTGTATACTTACGAAAATGCAAATCAGCTTCCTTAAGACAAAGTAACACACTACTTGTAGGTTCCGTGTATGTAAATAAAATGTAAATAAAATATAAAATAAAATTCACAAGGTTTATGAAGCAAATTCTTGGACCAGTTACTGTAACTTATGTGGTCTCACAATAAAGTTCATGAACTCATTGAGGTAAAAGTGCTACATACTTCATTGCTGAATATAACTGTGGTCAGCTTCAAAGTGCCCCCCTTTGGAAGCTATGCACCGATGCCAGCCCCTAGTCCACCCTTCAAAACAATTTTGGAACTGGTTTTGTGGAATGGCCTTCAGAACTGCCATCGTATTACTCCTGATGTCATCATTGTCATCAAAATGCCTTCCTTTCAATATTTATTTTATCTTCAGGAGCAGAAAAAAGTCATTGGAGGCTAGATCCATTGAATAGGGAAGGTGTTCCAGCATGGTTATTTGTTTACTAGCCGAAAGCTACCTCACATACAGTGCCATGCGAGCAAGTCCTTTGGGACCATTTTTGCACACACCTTCCTTATGCCAGGATCTTCAGTTAAGATGTTTGTAACACATAATGGCTAATTCGATTCCTCTATTTAGTGGATGATGCAATAATGTCACATATCCTTGTAGCGTGACAAGTAATTAATGGTTTCTGTGTTAGATGATTCAATTTATTGGATATTCACCAGGCTGAACTACAGTTAGTTGTAACACAATCTTACTGTGACTGTAACACTTCATAATTATGAAGAATGATAACACTCTGAAGGTTACTGTAACTACACCACATAAAATAAATACTTCATTTATGACTTCTTCTGACTTTAAGTATTATGTTTTTGGACATTATCCATCATCCTGTCTATTTTCTACAAAACATCCTGTCCCTAGGGACTAGCTCTTTCTATTGGACCCAACTGAGTGGGTTTTACCTGAGGACAGGGACAGATTCCAGTCTCTGAAATATTGTACTTTGAAAAATAAACATTAAGGTTTTTAGAAAATAGACAGAATGATGGATAATGTCCAAAAACATAATACTTGTAGCAATGTGCCATCATCGCAAACTTTTAGATCTTAGTCTTCTGACTTCTTCATCTGACTTCTGTTTGTCTTCTGTCTTCTCTCGTATTTTGTCTTATCTCATATTCTATCATTCATTTCTGTCCCTGAAGTAGGATCTGGCATACCAAATAGAAGACACCAAGTTGAACAGTTGATTTCTCCGTTGTCATAATTATTTACACCTTCGCTACTAAGTAACCAAAATTCTATTGTTACCTCATTACCTTGGCAATGTGCTCAGTGAAGCCTTGCCTGCAGATAGTCAGACTGCAGCTTTCAGACGTCATGTCACAATTCTATATGCAACTATATGCAAGGTGCCAGCATATTATGTCGCATACTGATAAGATGTCCGTTGGTAATAGTCATGTTGCATATACGAGGGTGTACAGGGAAAGGAAGCGGTTAGAAGAAGATGATTGTAATATTGTACCCAAACGAAGTTACATGCCAAATGACACCATTTTCAATGTTAATCTTGGAAACCAAGGTTCTCCAATATTTTTTTATTATATTGCAGAGTAACATAAATTCATGACTTATATCTGGCTACACACATAACATATATAAATACAGCTCAGGTAACTTGTATCCATCTTGATTTTATAGTTATATAAAATATCAGTCTGTCTTTCCATAGTCTATATTTTATGACATTAAAGATTAGAATTTTGCACAGCCTGTGGTAATGTTTTCATCCAAAGCTCCCTTCATGCAAATAAATGTAATGGATAGGAGCCATTTGACTTTTATCAAGTATGATTTTAGAATACATTTTATGTGATAACTCGGTAATAATGTGTGCTGGCAATGGTACAGCTCTTATAATTGGACAAAGAGATTTAGCTTGCCATTAATAATGTTACTTATACTTTATAATCAGTCACACTTAATGAGTTTTTTCATAGTCTTATTGAGCCCCTCATGATCATGTCTGAATAGTAAATTTTAATAGGCTTCTGATTCTACAGATTGTCTTAAAAATTCAGCTTCAGCAATTATGCTCATATACCATTCAATGATAAATGATCCCTGTAGATGTTACATTATCATGAAGTAACTATAGTAAATCCCACGTTTGATATCATTGTTTAAATATAAAGTGTAAAAATTTACTAAAATATTTACTGTTTGACATTAACAGTTATTATATATTTCAAAATATTTAAATATTTAAATCTTTTATTTGTTTCATATTTTTATTAATTTTATTGCAACAGAATATTGATAACTCTATGCTGCCATATCATAATAATGAACAAGATACAGTGTTATGTTACATAAATTATTGTCACTTCAGTATTTTGTATTCACATTTTTGTAAAAAATATTTTCTTATAGTTGGAAGTGTTTGAATTTATGATTATAATTACTGATCTTTATTCCCATGCACCCAATATTCCAGACTTAACAAATGTTGTTTGGTTGCCTGATATGCAAGGGTAACTATTGTATTGGTGTATTATGGCAGGCTTTAATCTGTGGCTTAAAATATACAGAATTACTGACATATGTTGTCACTTTCAGTGGCTTTCACTGACTCAGATAAAGAACTTTCACTCTTGGCTAAGCTGCTGAATGATGCTGATGAATATTCTGTAAAACTGGGAGCATCTGTGACTGGTGATCCAAGTCACGCCACTTACCACCCTCTGCTGGAGTATAAGATACCAAAACAAAGGGGCAGCCTTGTTGAACTAAAAGGTGCAAAGGGACGGCCGGAGAAACTCACACAAGATTATAGTGTTGATGGTAAGATAGTGTAGAATTATAAAAACTTAGTGAAACAGATGTTTGAGAAATTTGTTTTAATTTAATTCATAGAATGAATAATTATTCCATCAAAATGGTCTTAGGATTATCTACAACATATTCTATATACCAGTCTAGTGATTCTCAATCTCTAGTGATTCTTGGACAGGTTAAACAGAAGTGGGTTCCATAAGGACTGGTGTCCCATTTGTCTCAAACAGTATAATACAAATAATAGTCTGAGATTCATTTTAATACTATCTTCTCATACTGGTCCAGGTTTTCCTAATGGTCTCTTTTCTTCCACATTTCCTACCAAAATTTTGTACACACCTTTCTCCAGTGTGTGCTACATCCCTTGCCCATCTCATTACCCTCAGTTTTATCATTTTGATAATATTTGGCAGGAGTAAAATTTATTAAGTTCCTCATTATGCAACTTTCTCCGGTCTCATATTATTTCATTTATTTTCAAACTTCAGTTTGTCTAATGACTGTTTATTACAGTACCTAAATTATTTATTTTTCTGTTTAGGCTCTGTAACTGTGGACAAATAATGAATTTCAAGGAAGTACACTTTCAATAACGTGGTCTTCAAATTTCCTGCTGGTATGTACAACTTTATACACACACAAAACTTATAGTTTCTCTGGAGCACAGACTATGTTCAACAAAGCATTCTGAAATTAATGAAGATGTTAAAACCCTTATAAAATGTACAAATAGTTTTAGTTTGTTCTTGTATAATGTTTGACACACATAAAACAAATTGTTTCCTACAGCTCGGTTCAAATTAGATGGTACTCTTAGTGCAGAAACAGGCACTTCCTTCGACACTGACCTTAAGGTAACATATGATCAACAATATGTGATTCTGAAGTCAGGCTTCAAGAGACGGTCACCCTCAAGCTTTCATGCAAACCTTCTGCTTCATCCATCACAGTATCCAGATTTTGGAGTCAACCTCATCTGGGACTACAAGAGAGATAGAAACAATGTGAGTGGGAATGCATATTTGATAACAAGTTTCTTAATTTAAGTTACAAAGAAGTCCTAATTTGCTTGTTGTGGAGGAGATATTGGTGTGTTTCTGTGTTTAAAATAACTGATAGTAGAACAAATTCATTATGTTTAAAGTAAGCAATGGAAATAATACATGAGTTTTGTGATCTAATGTTATAGTAACAACCAGTGACCAGTAATATTCTAAAAGCACTGTGATAATGAATGTTGAAAATCTGTCATTTTTCAAAATAAAATATTAGAGACTGTTATTGATATATCAAAACATGTATGAGATGCTAGTAATGAAATTCTTCTGGAAATTAACACATGGAAAGTTAAGTGTATATCTGTGAATTATTTAATAATGCTGTCAGTATACTCTGTATATAGGACTGGGTAAAAGTAAAGACTGTTAATAAATCCTTTGAAAACTTTTCTAAAGGTGAATGTTTAGGAAAGGCAACAACAAATGAAATTTAATGAACTGCAGATTGAATTTGACAATTCTTGCTCCCATTCAGTTGCAGTTACTTTTATGTTACCATCTTTTATCTATTAATCTAAAATATAAAAACTTTAATTTTACCTATTATTTTATATGAAGCTAAAACTTTGTTTCTCATCTTTAGTGAAGAATATGTACCAACAGTGTTCCAGGACATAGTGCTGAGGGAGGTTTTGTAGACTTAAAAGAAAAAAAAACAAGAATTTGGAGAAAGTTTCAGAGTGAAAAGCATTATTAATTGTGCTATGCAGAGATATAATCAGAGTAACCAAATCAAGAAAGGAAATGAATGTGTCACGCGGGTCAAAATGAGAAATTCTAATAAGAAGTCCTGAAATGAAGAGGCCACTTGTGAGATATAAAGTAGATGGGATGATAATATTAAAATATATTTTTAAAGAAATAGATTATGAAGGTATATATTGAATTCAACTGCTTACTGTAGATCCAGGTATAGGATGCTCTCAACATGGTAATGAAGCTTTGGGTTCCAGAAAAGGTGGGTAATTACTTGAGCAGATGAGTTATAGTTTTCCAAGAAAAAATGTTATTTGAGGAGTTAATTAAATGTTCACAGAGCTAGCCTCTATTTTTCTTTTTCTGCTGTTGGACAATTTTAGAAATAGTTTTAATAGCTAACAGCCAATATGTCACACTCAGTTGTGAGTTATCTTCTTAACATTGTTTAATGCTTTCAGAAAACGATTATGTTTCCCATGTGTTACCTATTTACTTATAATCCAATTTACTTTCTCTGTTAGCTGGAAAATTCCTTGGTTGTGGTCCACGGAATAGATGCTGAGAGTGATAAAGCACGTGTTACACTCCACCAGCAGGCCCACTACCATTATGACCATATTGACAGTTTTGAATTCTCTACCAAGAATGAAGGTGAGTGTTAATATCTCTATTAATTCTCAGTTAATGTATGGAGAGATTTATTCTCAAGAATTGAACAATTTGTTTATATTGTAGTGGCCTGTTTTTTCTATATGTAAGCCTGTTGTTGTGGTTATATTTTGCCCCTTGTTTGTACGCCATTCTCTCCATCAGCATATGGTGTTGTCCTCTCTTGTAGTGGATGTTGCACACAACATTCATGGTATCTGTATTATCACCCAGTAGATTCCTATCACCAGCGTAGACCAGCAGCTGATGTGTCCCATTTAATTTTAGTCCCACCCAGATTTTCTGGGCCTTCATAGTGGCATATTATAAAGCAAAATTGAAAAACAGTGGCAATAAAGCATCTCCTTGTTTTAGACCATTCTGGATAGGAAAATTATCAGACAAATATTTACCTACACGGACTATACTATAATTTTCATTTAAACACATTTAATCAGCCTAACTAGTTTCATGGGTACCCTAAACTCTATCAGAATATTGTACAATACTGCCCTCCTGACTGAATCACAGGCTTTCATGAAGTCTATGAATAGCTGATGTACTATCTCATTGTACTCCCATTTTTTCTCCCATATCAGAAAAATGCAAAAGATCTTGTCAGTAGTTGTTCAGTTATGTCAAAACCCACACTGATGATCCTCAATAATTTCATCTAAATATGGACTTAGCCTTGAGAGAATAATATTAGATAAAATTTTGTATGAAGTTTATAGCAGTAATATCCCATGCATGATAATTACTACATTCACTTTTATCATCCTTCTTGTAATTGGTGAAATGATATACTGCTTTCACTGATCAGGCAATTCTTCCTTATTCCAAATAGAATTAATGAGTTTATGGATCTCAGACCATAATGTTTCACCTTCTGCTTGAATCAGTTCTTCTGGAATTTGATCACTACCTGGCAATTTATGCCTTTTCAACTTTGCAATAGCAGTTTCAACTTCGAAAGGACTAGTATCAGGTACTAACGACTCAGCTGTATGTATTTCTATCTGCCTGACATCACTGATATTGTGTACATTCAATAATTGAGAGAAGTATTTATTCTGCCTATTGCAAATATTAAGGGAATCTGCAAGCAGATCACCGTTCTTACCCTTGATTATGTCATTGCTAGGATAGTAACCCTTCTTATATTCATTTAGTCCTTTATACATGTGTCTAATGTTCTTGTTCTTACTGTTCGTTGAAAGCTCATTAATTTTGTCTTAGATATTCCCCTTTCCCCCCCCCCCTGAAATGCTTGTGGGCTTCACGTCTTACGTTGTTCACATTATACCCATTTATTTTGCTTGGAACTTGTAGCCACTGCAATTTTGCTTGTTTCCTTTAATCTAATAATTTGAGCATCCTTTGTCAAACCATGGCTTATGCTTCTTCAATCCATAATAACCTTGATTCTCTTTGGCCAAAATTTTGATATTCTATCTAATAGGTTCCCAACCTGTATTAATATTCACCTCAGTGTCTTAAGTTTTCCAAAGGTGCGAACTCATTTGAGATTTCAATAAAATACTGCTCTTCAGACAGAAACTTTATTAGGTGCTAGTAAGTAGGTTGATCTGGAGGTGAATGCAGAGGAAAGGAAGTATATGTTAATATCTCGTTATGACAATGCTGACCAAAATCATGAGCTAAAGATAGCTAATGGATACTTTGAAAACATGGCAAATTTTGGAATGATGCTATTATATAAAAATTATGTTCATGAAGACATTAAGAGCAGATTTCATTTTGGGAATACTTGGTAGAAGAGGAGCCCATACATAGTTTTCATATGGAATTCTAAAGGAAAGAGTTGACATGGAGAACCTAGACAAAGATGGGATAATAATATTAAAATGGATCCCAAAGAATGGGAATGGTAGGGTGTGGACTGGATTCATTTGGCTCAGGATATGAACCAGTGCATACTCCTGTGAACACGGTAGTGAACCTTTGTGTTTGTAAAGTTCTGAGAATTTTTTGAGCAGCTGGGTGAATATTAGCTTTTCAAGTAGGCTTGAACACCATGGAGTTAGTTGGTTAGTTGACACACTTCGTCATATTATCATGAATTTAAATTTATGTTAATCTACTAAATATAGACAATTGATGGATATGGGTAACATTGTGGGAAAAGCTACAACACTCTGCTCTTAACCATTTAAACTATGTTATGTTTAAGTCAGGAAAACTTCATTGAGTGGGCTGAAGAAAAATTTGGCCAGGGGATATGGCAATTAACAACGCATGACTGAAATGTCACTTTTTCTGCAAGAAATCATATGTCAACAAACTCCCAAAACAGGTATTGAGTATTGTGTAATGGGGTTGTGGTCTCATCCCTCCAAAGTTGACTACCATTTGTTTAGGATGGATTTCAGAGAAGCTGGCTGTAATGTTTCAGCTGATGGGACTACCAACTCTGAGATATGATGGCTTAGGAATAAGGCAAAATGTACTGGGGGTTCCATACCAGTCAGTTCTAGGGTAGATTCTTCTTTATAACTTCCCTGTCTCTCACCTATAATACTGTGACATGTCAAACCGTTGTTGGGAAATGGCATATGGAATGAGGTTACGGAACAGTAAGGAAAGCGGTGTTTGTCCATGCCGTGCCGTGCCAAGCCGAGCTGAAGCGCGCTGGTTGCTACGCAGCATTGCGGTAAACATCTCTAGGCAGCATTGCCCAGCAATGCCTCTGTAAACACGGCGATTACACAACAGTGAAGTGAGGTCACTGTACACTGTCTGACTGACGGTTTATAAGAGTAACTGGAATGCCTAAGGAGTTCAGTTGAAGTCTAGCATTTGCAAGAGTTAGTTGAGCATTAGCAGTCGATTTCCAGCCTTCGAAGAGAAGAGTTGGGCTTTAGCAGTCACTGAGCAGATCAGCAGATGCCTCACTGAGAATTGTGATAGTGCTGAAGAAACGTCAAGAGGACGTGATAGGTGATCATAATAGTACTTGTAAGTGTGGATAAGAGTGTTTCAAATAGATAATCACTGAATCCGAGACCCACATGAAATTATTCATTGTGTTAGGAGACAGAAGTAGGTTACCAGGTAACACACTACAATACTTATTCTCAACTTTACATATGCTGTTAATAACACACCTGCACCGTGACTTCAGTCCCTCTACTGACAATCATAATCATAATCATCGTCATCATTATCATCATCACCATTTTCACTATCATCCCATCCTACACAGTTTGTTCTCCCATCTGAAAGTTTTGGTGGCCCTATCTTCAACCTGTCCAAGCACGTAGGTGTTATGATGGTCCTGGAGGCAGAAACCATAAACAACAAGCAGATGACTTAGTTTTTTTATTTCTTGCAATTGTGTATCATGAGTTTCTGTAATAGCAGGAAGTCAGTCTGTCTCTTTCCCTCTGTGTCATTAACTCAGTGGAGCTGATGATGTAGCTTGTTTGACACTTGCTACATAGTTGTTTGTATCCGTCCAAACCTTGACATGAATAAAACTGGACTTCATAAGGTTGTAGCAAAAGGATATAAATTAAATTAAAATTGGAATTCCTAAGAACATGTTTATTAAGTAGGAAGACACAGACACTTAAGAAGCTGCATAATCAGTCACATATAAATTGATTAGAACCCTGAAATTTTATGCCCAGTTGCCTAATTATAAATAATATTTAGCTGACATGGAAATTTTCTCTGAAATTTTTTTATTCATTCCATAAGGAAGCATTTAATATAGTACCAAAGTATAGAAATTTCTTGTCAAACCACAAAGTCTTATTTAATTTAATATCATTCTCTTAGCAAACTAAATATAACCTACCAAACTTACAAAACAGAGGAATATGTTCCAGTTGTGTTTTCACTTGAATGCATTGATTTTTCACATCTTATCTTGCAGTTACTTATCCTTTACTTGGTATTGTTGGGAAGTTTGATGGTGTAGCAACTCGCAAGAGCCTTCATATTGATATTGAAGCGAGTTATGAGAAACACAAGTTTGAGTCTGAGCTGACTGCAAAGACAGGGATCCATAAAGCAGGCGACTATGAAGTGGAATTTGAGGTACGTAATATTAATGTTCATTCATTCATTCATTCATTTCAGTCACAGCTATTCTGAACCATGGTATAACTTGAAGATATGTGGGATATATTTTTCTCACCTCAGACAATTTTACCTTTAATTCCATATATCTGCCACCAGAGCTCTTGACTGAAATGAATAAGCAAATTTCATGCAGGGGCATGCTGGAAAGCCATAAAATTAGTTTCCAAATAGGGCTACTATGTTTATATAGTCTGGCAGTATCTGAAAAAGTGAAATTGCTCACACAAAAAGTACAATGCATAGGATAAAGGTTCTTCATTAATAATTATATAGACTGCTCTATTTGTCATGAAACCCCACTGTGATAGTATGTAATTTGATTTGATTAGCTGGCAATATCCGTGATATTCTTTGACTTTGAAGAAAAGAAGGAAAGTTGATAATGTAGCACAGATTATATCCCCCCAGTCCAACTGCTGCAAACCTTATAATGACTGTATGTTTAGATCATGTAATCCAGTCCCTCATGCTGCTATCAATCCAGCATAGCTCTGGCTGCAGCCTGGTTGAAATCAACCTCATACCACACAGAACAATAATTCCTCTGTAGCAGTTGCTACCACCAAGGTATAAGTTTAGTATTGAATCAGGAATGAATCTCTTGACCCACAACACCCATGAACCTCTCAATGGGGTGCTTATCCTTATCTACTTTGGTAACGGCCACCACCTGGTTTAGAATCAACCCTTGAATTTGTCCCTTGGTAGCAGCCTCACAGGAAAAGCTTGCCTACTCCACCGGTCTCTGGACATGTGAGATTTGTGAAGTGGTTCTTAGGTTACCATGATCAGTGTGGCATTTTTATTTACCCTCTCCCTGAAGTTAAGGTAGAATACAATGGGCAGTTGTCCTGTGACATTATTATTACATATGCACAAAAGAACAAAAATGATCCCCTGCTGATCACTTTTAATTGACTTACCCTGTGAAATGGTCCATAATTGCTTCCTACACTTCCTTATAAAATATTCCTTTACTATGAAGAAAGCAGTCTTCTGGGATTTGGCCGTGAAAGCCTCAAATCTTACATATTCCTTTACTACATTAAAGAATCATCAGTCAGCTCAGATCAGCTCAGATCAGCTCAGCTTAGGTCAGCAACCAGACAATAATTGGCTGTGTCCCTTTTATAGCTTCTGTCTTCATTTGTCTCTCTGATTACTTATCTGGTAATGAGAACTATCTTGATGAATGTAACTCATTGTTGTGAGTGTGCATCCAAATAACAAGGTGAGTTCAATCACTGTATTAGCTTAAAGTGAGTGTAGCAGCATTATTGCTGCCTGTAAAAGTTCTCCAAATTTTAGCACATATAAAGCTAAACAATGCTGAATGAACAGATCACTTACTAATTTGGTCATTAACTGAGGATTGAGCTGGCATGACACAAAATTTTGTAATACACTGATCTATCCCAGACTGTGCTATTACAGTCCACATTAACGTTATAAATCCTGTGATATAACTCACTGCATGTTATATTGGGGGCGGGGGATGTTGTAGCATAGTTAGTTGAGGCACTGTGATACAAGTCGTAAGGTCGCAGGTTTGATTCCCACTGAGACCATCACTAATTATGGTCTCAAAATGTTAGTTAAAACTGAACTCTCACTATGGATTCTGCTATATGAAGTTTTGCATGAGATCAAATTTATGTACCTTTAAATGAAGCAGCTTTGTGTTCTAGCATTTGGATAATCTTATATATTGGTGTATTTATATAACGTCTTAAAGATTTTCATGGGATGCCTCAAAACAAGCTTGGGTTTTACCTACTGTTTTTCCTGTAAGAACGTGTTTGATTCTGCTTCTTCTCTAACAAAAAACTTCTGTTCCATATCTGTTCACTCTTGGATGCGTTGTTATTTTTTAAGGAAATGAAATACTGGCAAATTTCTTCTAAACGTTCTACAGATCTTTTTTAAAGATTTCTTCCAAATATAGGTCCCATCAGTAAACACTGTATGTGTTACGCTCTACTTCATCTTCAGTAACAAAAGCACACACTTCTTTGTTATGCAGTAGTTAAGATGTGACACTGATCACATGTGAGTTGCAAGTCTTAGCAAAAAATAACTGAATTACAATGCAATAATCCATTTACCTGCTGAGATATCCAGGGTGGTTTCAAGGTATGTAGAACTGTGTGCAGTAAAACTTCTCTAAAGTGAAATTTAAAAGTGCAGATTTTCCAGCGTTTCTATAAGGAGAGATATTATAGGAATGTTTTGGTGTACATCATATTGACCCAGGATTTCATTTTCATTGTGATGATTTATGTTATTGAGTTTCTTGAAGTATAGGGTTTACCAATGATGGCTTGTTGTTAGCAGGCATGTACATAACACATTCTGATGTACTGATTAAGTAACAATGTTCATAAATGAAACCTGGAAAATAATAATTTATGAAAATGTACTTTTTTGTTTAATTTCCTGTGTTTCCTTTCAGTATTTATTAACACTGACCTGTTTCTGTAAGTGATTATAATTTTCACTGCATGTGGTTTCCACATCATGCAACTATTGGATCTAGAAAATGATTAGTTTGTATGATTTCCTTTGCTCCTACAAGACTAATGTTACTGGGTAGGTTATAAACTGTCAACAAAATATAAGATAATATGGATTAGTGTATTTGTCTGTATGTTTGACTGCATGCGTTTCGGTCTGTTCATTCATCTGTCCCTCTCTTTGTCTGTTTGTCTCTGTGTGTATGTATATATATATCATATTAACATGGGTCTAATTCTCACTCATTACGGAGCTGTTGTTGAAAATAGAGGAAACATGAAGACAGTCACTGACTGAGTAACACAGTTTTATCTGGTTAGTTTCTCACCTATAGAGGAATTTATTTCACTAATTACTTGTGCTAGCTGCCATTTGAAATTACCTCCTGCGTTATTTATTCACAAGCTTACTTGTATATTACAATGGAATGAAGAGCTACCAGTTCTTTTGTTCATTTTGAGGCCAGATTGAAAATGTGATTACAGTACAATGGCATTTAATCACATTTTACTTGACAAGTAACAGAATGCTTGAATTACTGCTTGGATATCATTGTACTGGTCATGGAAGATCAGAGGACTGCTATCACTGTTCACCAGACCTCACTCCTCTTGACTTTTTCCCTTTGGGATATGTGAAGGATTGGATTTATCAAGAGAAATCACAGGTAAGAGGTGAAATCTTGTGACAAATGATGGATGCTGTTGATCACATAAGGAACAATTCTGAGATATACGTGATAAACAAGTGTTGTTCTAAAATGACCAGGGTTGTTCATAGACAATACAGCAAATCATTCTGAACAGCAAGTAACAAAGGTAGCTAATGAAATAGGTGATAAGAAACTAAAATAAAATTATTTTTCTCAATCACTGATAATTTCTTTTGTTTTCTTAATTTTCAACCATAGTTGTTCAGTGGCTGAGAATCAGACCCATGTTGATATAACATTTTTCACTCAAAATAACCCAGTCACTAACCATCTGAAATCTGGCAAATTATTGTGGGATATTATGTGTTTCAGTTAGAAGCCAAGGTGCCGAGTTGTATAAAAGGCTTTTAAATATCCAAGAACACTGCAGCTTGCATTAAGCAAGCCTCTTTCTTCAGTGTGCCTTTGGACTATTTTCAGCATAACTTTATCGAATAGCTTGCCTGTTGTGAACAAGAAGCTGTTCAAACGTAAACTTTGAGGGAATTTTGGGTCCTAACTGGGTTTTGGTAACATACAACTTTTGCTTCTTTTTAAGGCTTTGGAAAATTAGACAGCCCAAGACAGCTGATGTACCAGTGGTCTTCTTGGAAAATGCTTGAGTCATTCATTTGGAATACCATGAAGTCCACAAGCCTTTCTCAATTTCAATGTGTTTGCTAATTTCTGTATGTTTTACAACCTTAATGTCTCATCTACAGATGTAAGCGGAGCTTGGGCTCTAGTCTCCACTCATCACTCATGGTTTTCATCACACTGGTCATGAGATGTGAACTGGTTTTCTAAACAACCCACAGTTATGTTGGCTTTCTCATTCGGGTGATAATGTTATTCCTAAAGATCCATGAACAGTGGATGGTGTCTTTGGTCCATCCCTCTTCGTAAGGAATTTCACAATAAGCCACACAGCTTGGTGTGGCCTCACAGTTCCCTACTTTTGTTTCTCACCGTTCTAGTACCTTTCTCTGGGTCATTTGTCTGATGGTTTTGACTACCCAGTTGAGTGTCATATTACATGCTGGATCCCAGCTTCCTTGCCACAGTTTCCTTAACCTCTGCTTATGTTCAGCAAATTTTTCAGACCAGGTATGTCCTTATTAAGGTCTGAGAGTGACATTTTGCTTGTTGATAGCCTGTACACTGAATCTATAGAGACATTAAAGTCACAGGCCTCTTTATTGGCTTCTTCCTCCAAGTTAATTTGGATTCTGGATGAAATTATTTCAGAGGCCAAGCTTTGGAACTGCTCCCCATCTGTGAATTTGTCAACCAGGTCTGAAAGATTCCTAGTTCTAATATGACCCAGCAAGTGGAAAATTTTTGGTAGGTTATCTGAGTCCAGAATGTCAGAGACAATGACTACTGACAGTCGGACATTCTTGTGCACAACAATATCAAGCATGTCACCATTTCGCATAGGAGAATAATGAGTGGGACATTGTGATGCTGAAATTTCAAACTCATTTATATGCAGTAAATTCAGTAGTTTCTTGCGTGAAGGGTTGGAAACTACACTATTCAAAAATGGATGCTTAGCATTTTGTCTATTGTTGCGTGCATATCCATTGTTAAGATCACGTGATTTGGTTTCTGTGGAAACATGTTTACAGAGCCATTACCTAACAATGACCATTTCTTCTGGCTTTGAGCCCTCATGTCACAATATAAATGGTAGATGACAAGATTCTTGCAACACTGTTTAATTTCTAGCTACACAATATGATATTAATGTTAGAAAGTCTTTATTTTACATCAGTGATGGTAAAAATGTTAATATCAATTAAAATTAAGTTTGTTAATTAGAATTTCTTGACTACAGGATGCATCTTTATATTGTAATAAAGAAATACAAATGTCATCTGTACAAATATATAACTTGTGTTCTTTCCAGGCCAAGGTTCTTGATAGCAGCATAGAATTTGTAACAAAGCGTGAAGTTACATCTCCTGATAAGTCCAAGTTCATTACTAATTTAGAGGTGAAGCCTGGTGGAAAATATGAGTTGGTAGCAGATACAACCCACCACTTTGAAAGGGGCGACATCGATTTCCAAGTTGATGCTCTAATCAAGGTCCATGGGCAGCCTAATGATTACAAGTATGTACAGGTAGTAGTAGTCTGTAAAAACATGAAGTGTTTTATTGTTCAAGGATACTGTTGTTTTGTTCATATTCAGGATGGTGTATGGAGTCCAAAACCCCAGCAATTCTGAGTATTATATACCATCATCAGAACCCTTTAGAATGCACCTCTTTATGGCTTATATATTAAATGTGTTTTGGACTTGGTCAGATCCAGTCTATTGTAATACAAGTAGATTTGTTACAGATGTGTAAAATATTTAACACTAACCATAATCAACATATAATGCTTAGTTCAGAGAATTGTAGTAAGTACCAAACTCACAACAAATCGCTTTCTATTGAAACCTTCAGGAGTGTTGGATATTTAAAGGGTACCATCCTTTGGCAAATAAGGAGTAGAGATGATTTAAACCTTAAACAACTGCAAATTTTAACAGACTACTGTATCCACATCTCTGGCTGAAATCAGTATGATTTGTTTGCAGTTTGTACTGTTATTGTATAAGCAGTATAATATATAAATGTGTAAATATTTTAGGTCTTTCTTACTGACCTAACTTTCAAGGGGCAAAAATATTCAGTCTTGATCCTTGGGATTCAGTTTACCTCTTCCCAATACAGTAGACTCTTTAATTTTATGGTGTCCAAACATCTGTAATTCTCATTCAACCAATAATAATTTTAAAAAGTTACACTTTTAAACAGTTAGTTTCAAAAACATATTTACAATATTCATAGGCCACACCACAGCCCAGGCAGTTAGTTGCTGGCTTCCCATTGCAGTGGCCCAGGTTCGAGGATGGGTCTGGTCATGTGGGTTTTGTGGTGGACTAAGTGATGCTGGGGCAGGTTTCCTCTGAGTACTTACGTTTCCCCTGTCAATCTTCATTCCACCAGTTGCTGCACAGTCACCATCATCTCTCACCTGGGGCTGGTACAATAGGCCAGTAATGACTGCAGTACCAAGTGAACTCAGTCTCACCCCACTAAGAATAATAATAACATAATATTCATACCTTTACCCTCCAAATGCCAGTTCTCCTAGCAACACTTCCCTTCTTCCTCCCTCAGGCAGATGCCAGTACAATTTATGATTACAGTAGAGATTAGTTGAATTTGTGAGTAGATTGTAGTATATCTGAAATCTTTCACCCATCAATCCACTCTATCTTCTAAGAAGACATCCATACAGTAATTAAAGTGAGATTTTGTTGATTTGGCTTTAAAACAGAAATTGGAAACATTGAAACATTGTGATAGGGTGAACATTTCTTGAAAATTTCTTGAAAATTGGGTTTTGTAAGAGTTTACCTCATGCAACTGGCAGATTCATGTAACTGGCATGGTCCATTCCCCATACCTGCTGGATAATGGAGAAGTTACTATAATTTCATTCATTCATTTCCTTCATTTTCCATATATCCATGCAGGTAACAAACCTAGGATGTGGAAATGGTCCCTTTGAAAATAGATATATCAAGATACATATACAAAGTTACATGAGTCACATAATCAGAATCACTTACATTAATCGATTAACATAAGTAATAATATAAAGTAAAAAATGTAATAAGATTTTAATTATTAAATATAATTTAAAAATAACTTACTATAAACCTTGAATTAATACAATTTTATTTAAATTATCTGTAATAACTGAATTAAATACATTACAAATTTATACACTTATGACCAGTTATGTTGATAATATTCATTCATCCAATAAAAAAAATGATGATATAAAGACTTCTTCAATGCAGATTTAAAACTTCTCTCATCAGTAGCCAACATTTTTATTGTTTGAGGAAGATGATTGAAAACTTTAATACCTGATATGTATGCACCTTTATTGTATTTTGTTAGGTTAACTGCAGGTAAATATAAATTATTGAGGGCTCTAGTTTTGTATATGTGAATCTCATGGTTAAAATTAAATAAATGTTTATTATTAATTGTGTATAAAAGTAATGAATATATGTACTGAGAGTAGAATGTCATTATTTCCAAATTCTTAAAAATGTCCCTACAAGACTCTCTTGGTCTAGAATTCGTTATAATTCTAATAACTTTCTTTTGCAATATAAAAACTTTGTTAACACAAGAAGACCCACCCCAAAAAATTATACCATAACTTATGATAGATTGTATATGAGCAAAATAAATTAGCTTTAACGTATCTAAAGGGACAATATATTTTATATTTCTCAATGCATAACACGCAATGGAAATTTTATTAATAACATAATCAATATGATGTTTCCACGAAAGAGTATAATCAGTAATTAATCCCAGAAATTTTGTCTCAGTCACGTTTGTTAAATTTATCTGATCATAGTTAATTTGAATAGTGCGTCCTGAAAACAATCAAAGTACAAACCCACATAACGTTTTTCACACCAATATGCAGTGTACTTCCTTGCTTGGAACACAGCACATTTCCTATCTGGTCTTGCTTTCTTCTAAGCAAGGAGAGTTTTCTTTGTTAAATGCCATTCAGTTAAATGCTGGTCTGTGTTTTCTGACTAGTGTGGCCTAGTATTTTGTGTAGCATTATTAAGTTTCAAAAAGAAACCCTCTACCCAGAAGACAGTTATGAAATTTGTCTTCCTGTGTTTTCTCTGTATGTTAACATAGAATTCAAAAAAGCTACTTCATATACCATTTTTTATGCGTTTTCATTCTATTAGGTGTGACCATAACAATTGATCTTTCAAATCAGCTCCATTCATTAACCTATTTGTAATAACAGTGTGTTTTATGAAGAATTATTAGAATTTTGTTAGAGCCAGATAATTATGGAACTTGTCCATTCACACTGTTCACTCCCCTGTTTCAAGAGAAGTTAACCAGCTGCAGTACAATGGCTGTGGTTTTATTTGTGTCAGTTACATTAAGGCTATATTCCAGTTGTGTACTTTTATGAATATAAACAAAGAACAAGTAGGTCTTGATTCTGATCTCTGATAGCTTCTGTGGAAGGTACTGTCTGAAACATAATTGGCCAGTCTGTATATTTAGGTCTCAATACTTCCATAACATCAGTGACTTGTCTGTTGAATTGCCCTTCTTTGGAAGAAAATATTTCTGAAATTTGCTGTTCAAGTATTAATGACCAAGTGGATTTTAGAAAGTGTAAGAAGCTTTTAATAAAAATCACGGTTCTCATATTCAGAGGGATTCAGAAATTGGCGTACAAGTTCTAACATTTTCTCTTACAGTTATAATAATTATGTTATTTCAGACTTGATTCTGGGCTGGTTCTCAATCAGCAGCTGTTTGATACACATTACAAGGCTTCAGTTGGCAACACTGATTATGTTGACATCAGCGCAAAGTACAACAGGGCTAGTGGAAATCCATCTGGCAATGCCAAGGTAATAACTTCATTATTTATAACAGTGGAGTAACTATAAACTTATTCACAATAGCAGCAAATATGAGGGAAGCTAACAGACCATTAGAATTGAAAATGGAGATTCAATTCAATTCAATTCTTTATTATTAATGTGCTGAGTCAACAGCCGCAAGGCCAATTACAGACACAGCACAGCACAGTGCAGATGCAGATTGAAAACAGAGATAGTATTTAATAAAATTAAATAGCATTGCTATCTCTCAGAATATGCAAAGTGTGTGCAGTAATAGAGTTGTGGGTTTATAGATACTTAAAGTGCAGAATAATAGAAGTATGGTTCCATAAATATGCCGTCATATAAAGAGATATGTCATATTACCTCATTAGTTTAAATCTTTTATTGCTCATGAGATGTTCTGGTGCATAAAACATGGTGTGACTAACATTTTTACTGCATGTTCTGCTGAACAGGTGCTCCTGAAGGACTATTTGATTGGAAATGCCCAGTTCAAGTATTCTGCTGGTAAAGGTAGTGCTAACATTAATTTAGATATACCAAAAATAGATCGGAAGATCAAGGGCACCGGAGACCTCCAGATTTCAGGCTCTCAACATGTTGCTACTGTCGATATCTACTACAATGCAGACAGGAACCAAAACCAAAAGATACATTTCCATACTGATTCTGACCTCAAGAAAAATGTTATCAGTTCTAAGTAAGTTCGTATACATTTTCATGTTAAATCAGTCTATGTTAACAAAAGTCAGAATTGTAGTATTTCATGATAAATATGCAAGATTACGTACATAGCAAGGATTAGGTTTTCTGTATCCTGCAAGGTTTGCTTACAGAAGTGAATTTAAGAAAAAATGTGCCGTCCAAAATACACCAGGATTACATACAGATGAAATTTATTTAGCTAGTTTTATTAGAAGAGATACTCATATATTTGTGACGGAAAGATGCAATTTAGTTGGCCCATCAATTCTCACATTAATATGCAATATATAGTGTGTCCACAAAGTCCCATCAGTGTTTTGAAAAATTGTGGGGTGCAAACAAATTGAGCTAGCCACATGTGGTTTGCAGCAGATCATAGTGAAACTCTGGAAGTCTCTTACAGACGTCAGTAAACTTTGATGTGGGCTCCCTTGGTAGCACAGGGAACATCTAGACGATATTCAAGCTCTTGCCATGTTCTGTGGAGCATGTCCACTGGAATAGCCGAGATTGCATTCCTGATATGGGTCTTCAGGTCACCAAGTCCGTTAACTGGTGTTTGGAAAACACTGCATAACCCCACAGGAAAAAAATCACATTCCTAGATCAGATATTTCCAGGAAGATGGATCAGCAGAGACAGTCCAATGCCGCCTCCACGTTCACCAGACATAACACCACTGGATTTTTTCCTTTGGGTTATGTCAAGAGCAGTGTGTTTCATACACCAGTTAATGGACTTGACCTGTAGACCCGTATCGAGAATGAGATCTTGGCTATTCCAGTGGACATGCTCCACAGAACATGGCAAGAGCTCGAATATTGTCTGGACGTTCTCCGTGCTACCAAGGGAGCCCACATCAAGGTCTACTGAGGTCAGTAAAAGACTTCCAGAGTTTCACTATGATCTGCCGCAAACCACATATAGCTAGCTCAATTTGTTTGCCCGCTACCATTTTTCAAAAGCCTGGTGGGACTTTGTGGACACACTGTACATTTTGGTTCAATAGTTTGAACTCCATCTTCTCCAGTCTTCTTTCTGGATTTGTGCTGTGGCCATTTTTTTATGTTTCCAAATTGATAAATAGTCACCAACGTGTACATACAAATACAGTTGCTATTTCTGGTAAATGACATCTCTGAATTGTTACTGTGGTTTAGAATTTTTTTCAGGCACACATTTTTGTAATCTTAATGCAGGAAAGATATTTGGTGACTTTTCCAGTGCATGATCTTTCTGATACGAATGATCACTGTGTATGTATTTCACTGTGTATGTATGTATGTATGTATCAGTATTTCTCAGAATTAATTTTATTTACATACAATACAGCATCCATAATCCTTCTTGTCCACTAAACACCAAATTTTTCATCATGGATAGGAATTCTTTCCAGCATTTATTGTTTTGTTTGAAAAAAAAAGACATCAAATTTAGATCAAGTTTTGCAAGTGTGAACTGGCTGAAGATACCAGTCACAAGAATTACTGGGTCACTGGCTGCAAAGGGTATGCAACTGGTTTTGTAAGTCCAGATTTTTAATGATTTTTGTTGTGATCCTTGTGGTATTTTCTGATATTCACATTGCTTAGGAAAGGTGCTTAAGAGACTTTTAAAGTGAAAATTCAAGATGATATGTGATATTGACCAAATTTCTTGTGTTAATATTCAATTTTTACATTTTTGTTTCTTGTGTACTTGGCCTATGCCAATGATGTGAATCTAATGGGTGATAATATAGATACCATAAAGAAAAACACACAAACTTCAACTGATGCAAGTAAAGAGGTTGGTCTAGAAGTAAACAAAGAGAAAACTAAGTATATATTGATGTCTCATCACCAAAATGCAGGGATAAATCATGACATCAAGATAGCAAACAGATGTTTTGAAAATGTGGCACAGTTCAGATATTTGGGAACAACGATAACAAATGAAAACCTGATTGAGGAGGAAATTAAGAAGAGATTGAACTCGGGTAATGCTTACCACCATTCAGTCCAGAACCTTTTATCTTCTCATCTGCTGTCCTAAAACATAAAAATTAGAACATACAGAACTATAATTTTGCCTGTCGTTCTGTATGGGTGTGAAATTTGGTCTCTGACATTAAGGGAGGAACCTAGACTGAGGGTGTTTGAGAACAGGGTGTTGAGGAGAATATTTGGACCGAACAGAGATGAAGTAACTAGAGGTTGGAGAAAACTGCACAATGAGGAGCTTCATAACTTGCACTCTTCTCCAAGTGTAATTAGAATGATCAAGTCAAGGAGGATGAGGTGGACAGGGCATGTAGCATGAATGGGGGAGATGAGGAATGGGTACAGGATATTGGTGGGAAAGCCAGAAGATAAGAGACCACTGGGAAGACCAAGTCATAGGTGGGTGGACAATATTAAAATGGATCTTAGAGAGATAGGATGGGATGGTATGGATTGGATTGATTTGGCTCAGGATAGGGACCAGTGGAGGGTTCTTGTGAACATGGTAATGAATCTTCCGGTTCCATAAAATGCTGGGAAATTATTGAGTAGCTGCAGAATTGGCATCTCCTCCAGAAGGGCTCAGTTCCACGAGCAAGTAAGTGTACTAGTATGACAGTTGTCCTTACTTTATTGGAAATATTCCAAATACTGTGCCTGTGGAGAACTCAAACCACAGAAACTTTCTTCGTGATTTTCTCTCACACGTCCTATAGACTCGTACTTCCTATGATGTTCAGATTGAAATAGTCTGTGCTCTAGAGTAAATTGGTCCATGTTCAACTCAAAGGCATCCTTCAAGAAGCACCAAAAATTACTGCAACTGTGGCCTTACAAATCTGTAGCAGTGCACACTTTAGAGTCATGTGATCCAGTAATTTATGTATCTTCATTCAGTTAATGGTGGTGAGCATGATCCTAAGCTGATATTTTTCCATATTCTATATGAATGGACATATGAACACACTAGGTAACAGATATCGGAGTACAGAAAACCCACATCTTCTTCATGAAAATGTACTCCAAGATGTTAAAGTTGGTCATCATTTGGCATTAACTGCAAAGAGGACTTATTTTATGTAGATACAATTAACTTTGAAGGCAGATTCTGCAAACAGACAAGAAACCTTTACTCTCTGATGCAGCTGCAGTCTCACCAAGTACAGGATAGCAATTATACTGGTTCTGACAACTAGTGAATGAATTATCTAATGTGAACGTCAAAAATAATATTTTACATTGCTGGGAAAACTACAAATATATGCACAATAATTATAACTGTGAGCCCTATGACATTTATGTATATGTTTGCTGCAGGAACACACTTGTTGTTTTGGATTGGAAGACACTCTTCAATATTAAGGGGCAACTAACAGATAAGCTTGACAATGGACAGCTTAAAGGAGAATTTGACCTGACTCTTCCAACGGGCCATCACTTCACTGGAAAGGTCAGTATTTCTCTTACATTATGCTGTTGAGATATGTTCATGCTTAAAATATTATGTTAGAAAAGAATAAATTCCTGGACTAGTTAAAAAAAGAAACGACTGCTTAACTTAATTTTGGCTTTCATCTCCTTAAAAATAGTCTCCTTGGTAACATATACAGCGATCCCATTATATTTTCCACACTTTGAAAGCACCATGTAAGTCATTTTCCTTAATGCTGTTGAGTACCACTTGCAATTTCCTTTGGATACTCTGTATCAAAATGTTGTCCCTTCAGTTTCATTTTCAATTTTGGAAGCAAAACGAAATCATGGGGGGCTAAGTCTGGTGAGTGTGGACGATGAGGGATGATAACCATGTTGTTGTTAGACACAGACTCTTATGGTTTTCAGGGATTTGTGGGCAAATGAATTTTCTTGATGAAGGGAGCCAGTTGTAGTTGTGCAAAATTTCCAGTATTTTTTGTTACACATTTCCTCTCAAGCATGTCAGAACCTCACAGTAAAACTAAGAGTTGACCATAGTGTCAGGAGGAACAAATTCATGCAGAACAATCCCCTCCATATAAAAGAAACAATGAGCATGCTCTTTGTTGAACTCCGGACCTGCTGCACGTTTTTTCTCTTGGTGATTGTGGGCTCTTCCACTGTGACAGTTGTTGCTTTGTTTCTGAATCATAATTGTAAATCCAACTTTTGTCACCCATTATGATTCTAGAGATAAAAGGTGGGTCCTTGTTAATCTTCTCTTGTGACTTAAGACACATGTTTGTGCATTTCTACTTTTGATCATTTGTCAAGAGTCGGGGAACAAACTTTACAACAATGCAGCGCATGTTCAAATTCGCTGTTAGGAACTCCTGGCAAACTCCATAACTGATCCCAGTGGTGTCTGTGAGCTTATGGATTGTTTGGCGGTTATCTTTGTGGATGAGTTCTTGAATTTTGTCAACATATTCTGTCGTTTTGCTGTTGCTTGTTTGCCTTGGACGTTCGTCATCTTCAAGTGGTACTCAGTCGACCTTGAAACATGAATGTCATTCAAAAACCGCTGTCTGGCTTCAAGGATGTTCTCCAAAAGTCTCACAAAGCATTTCAAGGGTTTTGGTAGTGGATTTACCGAATTTCACACAAAACTTGTTTCAAACACTTTGCTCAATTTTTGCTGTCTATCGCAGACAAAATGAAACATGAAGTCAAAAAAGCGCTCATGTAAAAATAACGCGGGTTCACATCATGGTGTCACGTGGCAGACTGATGCAATAGGCTTGTAGAAGTTTGGCCTTGGCTTCCCCTCTTCTTCTTTCACCAAGGCAGTTACAACAATAGCAGCCTGGGAACTTTCCGATAACTCCCGTATGGAGAAGGAACATTGAGTTTAACAAATTTTGTGTGGATCAAATGATTTATAGGTGAAGGGAAGAACATTTCTAACAGCAAAGGATCTAGACATCCAGCAAATTTGCAAATTTGATGGGTTTATTCGACCCTGAAGATGTAGGCCATATTTTTCTGTTAAAGATTAATTGATTTTAAGCTGCCTACACAGCTTTATATTCCAGAAGATAGCATTGTTCGTAACCACCACTGTGAGAACCTCAAATCATACACACACAAAGAAAATATACTATGATGATGGTTTATACTGTTATTATTTATATTGTCACATGTTGGGTATATGTCACACGACAAATAACTTCACGCCATTCTGGATCTAGCGAATTTATTGCACATTCGCTCTTACATTTACGCAATTTACAATCTCACAACCACTGCCATCGGCAGTATCAGAATTACTTCTCCTGCTTCCATTCACTCCGGCGAATGCTATACTGCAACTGACTGGTTACTCTCTCTCTCACTGACGAATACTTCTGTTATGTAGCTTCCGCACTGACAACACAGAAAACAATTACATGATAGCTTTCACTGCTGCATGAAGTCATGTTTACTGATTGCCTAGCATCAGTCGCTGCATGGGGTCCCCTGTTGCCTGATGCCATGTTTACAAAAGTGTTGCTGGGCAATGTTGCATACCAACCAGTGCACTTCGGCTCGGCTCAGCTCAGCTCAGCATGGACAAACACTGCTTTCCTTACTGTTGCGTAACCTCATTTTCACTGTTGCATAACTTGGCAACCGACCATTTATCAAGGGTCTGTCTTCAAGGTAACTCATTCCATCTCCCATTGCCCAGCAATGTTTAGACATGGCACAATATTTTAATTTAGCATCCATGAAGTGAGTGACAGAATTAACAGTAAATGTTGTGAAGAAGATCATAAGAAAAATTATGAAATAGATGAACACGAACATAAAACACATACAGGTAAAACTTATAATGAAAAACGGAATCCACATGTGAAACTGGAACTCTGAAGGGCCAGAACTTCACGCCTATTGCTGCACCACCACCACCACCACCACCACCAGCAACACCAACAAGAGGAAGAACAATCTACTGATTTGTTTTTTTCTTGTAAGGCTCCAAACTCTTTCTGCCGACTTCTGGTTATGAGTTATTAATTAAGTGTGATATTAATTTTATATGATGACATTTTCAGGTATGTTTAATAATGTACAGCTTTATTTATTGTTTCTCTTCAATTTACATTTACTAATCGTTTTAATGATTTTTACAATTCTTTGGAATAGGATCATTATTACACATAACTGTCATAATTTTTTCTAGTTGGATCGAACCCTCCATGTGAGGCCTTCTAACAGTGAAGGTGATGTGAAGCTCGAACTGACAGCACAAAAGTCAGCTTCCAGTGAGCCTGCTAAAGTTACCTTCGAATTTGCTGCCAAGAACGTTGATGCCAAACAATACTCATTTGATGGACAATCTAAACTTGCTTATCATTCACCAAGTGGCAAAGATGTGTCTATTATGGTAGCTGCCAAGAACATTCCACAACGAGAACAGAGAATAATTGAAGCACAGGTGTGTACAGGTACAATTTCAGCAAAGAAAACAAAATGGCAAACCCATTTAAAGATATTATGAAGGTGATTTGAAGCTCTTTAAAAAAATTGCATTGAATTGATGATATTTATCCCTGATTTTTTGTTCTCTTATACTTAGCAACGTTGCACTGTAAGCAGCCTCCATAGTCTAGGGGTAACGTTCCCCCCTCATGACTCAAGGTACGCGGGTTCAAATCTGGTGGAGGTCGTGGAATTTTTAAGGGCGGAAAAATTCAGGAAACAAGTCCTCCGGGAGGGACTTAAAGCCGTGGGTCCCGTGTCATAGCTTTACGGCACATAAAAGAACCTCATACCTCAAGGAGGCCTCTGAGCCAAATTATAAGGACATTTCCCGCCCAACGATAGTCTCTAACGCCTCTGGTAGATGGGGGAAGCATCTAGATACCGCTGAGCCAGTAGAGGCCGAACTCGCTGGCTGAGTTGGGACTGATAGCACGCACCAGTATCGGTAGGGTATAGAGACTGGTAGAATATCACAGGGGGACGTACAATAGACCACTGCTCGTGGTGCATGGGGAAACCCACCCCCTCCAATTATAATAATAATAATAATAATAATAATAATAATAATAATAATAATAATAGCAACATTGCAATTTGTGTTTAGTCCTTAGATCTCTTATGACTTTCAGGTATGTTTTTACTTGTTTTAATAATAAAAATAAAATTGATCATGGAACAGAATTTGTTAAATTTCAATAATTATTACTCCTTATTTTACATATAACAACTAGAAAATAATGAAATAATCTGATTCTCCTCAGTTTCTACACAGATTATAATGTTGATCCTAAAGAATGCATCTTGCATTTTATGATTATAAATATTTTCCAAATTATGTCTCTTTCAATTCAATTCAATTCTTTGCATATTGTGTTCAGTTCCACATAAATTATACAGCTAATGAAGAGGAATTCACACGTTTTTCTCTTGGGGGAGGGATAACAAATATATTGCAACACTGAACTGAAGGAAACTTTGAGTGAAAGTAATTTTACAGCAAGATAGTTTGGCTCAGCCTATACAAATTCAGCACTAAATGCCATAAGTTCTTAATATACGTTGAATGGAATAGTTAGTGAAAATTATATTTTCTGTGCTTTTTATTATGAAATTTTCTTCATTCTTCAGTTGGAAATTTTAATTCAGATATTTTTCACAATATTTTATTTTTCAGTTATTGAAATTTCTCGACTTCTCTCACAATGAGAAACCAGTTCAGTCCTTAGTAAAATGAGAAATATCTCTTTTATATTGTGAAATAAATATTTCAGGGAGCACTGCAAGGTTCACTGATTGGTGAGCCTGTGCGTGTGGAATTCAACTCAGAAATATATGAGCCATATTTCACTTACAAAGGACATGGTAGCTATGGTACTGGGACCATAGTGGATCTATCTGGGAAAATAAGCAAAACTCTGAAACGTCATGAGAACTCCTATAAAGGACCCTTTTCTGTGGACTCCAACATTGAGGTGAAGTTGCCATTAGAAAAATTCAAGCACATTAAGCACGCTATTAATTGTAATGGAGAAATTGAAGAGAAGAAATTGCAGGTGAGTGTTTTATTTAGTAGCATCATACTTGGGGATGTAATGATGTAATGCAGGAGAAAATATAAGTGATTCTGGGCTTTGTAGAACTTAAAGACATAAAAGTTACAATTATTAAAATGTTATGCATAGTGAGAGCATCTTATTTAGGGTGCATATGGCTGAAGAATTTGGTGTGCTTCGAGACCCCACTACTAATACAATTTACAAATTGACCATTCTGTGCTTATAAATTTCGTTTTATTTTCTTCAAAGATTTTCATGTTCCAAATTGACACTCTTCACAGGAAATGAACACTCTTTTCACGTCAACTCTAAAAACTGCTGCCCTTTAATTTCCACTAAATGTGACCTTGGTCTGTACTTAACAGTGCTGTCAGCCATTTTCTTCATGTGTATCTGGAGGAGCCATGTGCTGTCCATTGTTAATGTTTAAGAATGACAGTCATTAACACAAGACCATGATCCAGGTTATAATGCTATAATCCTCATCATCATCATCACCACCACCACCGCCGTTGTTGTCGTCAACATTGTTGTCATCATCAACAACATCATGACCACCACCACTGCCACCAATTTTTAACATGCTAACTCAACAGCTAGAAGAGCCAGTTTCAAAGTGAGCGTAAACAAAGAAAGAAATAATACATATAAGATATTCTAGTCCAGGTTATGTATAGGACAATTCTATAAACACAGCAACTTTATAATAATATTGAAGGCAGCAAAATACAGTAAATATTAAAGAAATTATTATCAAACACATTCACAGTATTACAGATTTCACTTGCACCTAAGGTACAGTAAACAGAACAGCAGCAACAGTGGCAATAATTATACTTATTTTTCAAAATCCCAAATCCATTTTTACGTGGTATGTAATGAATGCAGCAATGAACAGAGAAAATAATATGATGGCAGAATGTGAATTTTCAGTATATTTTATGGGCCTGTTTTCTTTTATGCATATGAGGGCACATTTTGTACCAGGAATCAAAATGTTTTGAGCTTTGGATTGGTAATTGGATTATTGGATCTTCACTAGTCATAACTTCACTTAATTATTACACTATTGTGGGTGTACACAATTTACAATCATTATATGCTAATCTTCTCAGTGTATCTGCAGTAGCTTTCACTTATTTATTGTAATATGGGAGCTATACAAGTCTCACTGAATTACACACTCTCAATCCCAATGCACTATACCACATACAAAGTCTTGAAATCACACTTTACATTCTCATAGGCTGACCTCCTATATTCTTCTGTAATCCTGATTCCAATTTGCTCCATTCGCATGTTTCTGCCGCTACTATTTCTCTCTCAAACTCTAGCTGAACTCAGGACTATGTCACACACACACACACACACACACACACTGTCACTTGTAGTTCCAACTCAATCTCTTCTTGTGATTCCACCGCTACTATTTCTTTCTCATAACTTGTAACTGAACTCAACTGAACTATGACACTCACTTATATAGCCGAGTGACAGACAACACATTATCATAAACACATGTCATATGATCGATACCCACCACTGTTGTGTGACATCACAACGCGCGTGTTGAATAGCAATGGTCCATCCATGGACATGGAAAACCCTATTCCTGTACTGTTGGCTGCGTATGCATTGCGGGCATTGTCTAGCAATGGGTCTACACACCACAATAGTAATACATGTTATAGATACACAAGCACATAGATGGGACCACATATCAAACCTTGAAACTGCAAATTGTACAGCAATTCTCATCAACGATTTTAAATGCTTGATGATGACCAGTGTCAGTTGAAACATGTAGTGTGATGTGGAGAAATCTTAAATAGGTTTTAGAAAGATGTGTTGCAAGTAAGACAGTCAAATTAGTGGCCTTTGTTGTATTTTCTCTTTTTGTGGTAATATAGTGGTATATGCAATATAATGCTAGTTAGAATTTGTAGACTGGCATAAATTAAGTTATAGATCAACAGCATTCTGCACATCTCTGGTTAAGGAATAGACAGGGCACATTACCAAGAGTTAATGGCTCCTTATGAAAGAGAGAAATAATTTTCTGTTTGTTTTTCAGCTAAATTTTGAGGAACTATTGGAATGGAATGATGAGCCTTATAAATGTCTTATAGAAATAAACAGTGAGGCTGAAAAAGGAAGTACCAAAATGATTCTGACTCTTCCCAACAGAAAGTTAGAGACATATACTAGTAACTGGTATTTCAACATCAATGACTTCAAGACGAAAGGTAATAAAACGTTTATTTTAAGGGTTTGTAACCCATTGAAGTCCACTCCTCCTCAGCTGTGAACACTGACTGACAAGTAAATAATATGGGTGATTTGAAGTTGTCATGGTGCAGAATATGAAGAAGTTTGTGGTTCTTAGGATGTGTAAATTATGCATAAGAGAGGAAATAAAGTACTGTTGATATCTTAAGCACAGTACAGTGCTAGTTTTTCTATTTTCTATACCAGTATTTGTTGATTTAGTAAATGTAGATTAAAATTTCTGAATGTAGCACTGACAGATTAATAATATTTTTTCTGGAATTAGATTTCACTGAACATGTTACTTAAATAGGGTGGTTAGTATTCAGGATTGTGACATGTTGAGACACTTTTCTATATTTGAATCTATCAGTCACCCACCTTAATTAAAATTTTGTTATATTTTGTATAGTATGAAATCCTTTATTTCACTGCCCTATCTCAGTTCCTTGTCTCTCCTAATGGTTGCTGTGCAGCCATGTGTGGTTTCTGTATTTCAGAAAACAATTTATAGTCAATAGTCAAGCTTATACTTTGTCATTTCATGACATTACTGGATTAGAAGGATGACTTTTGAAGGTATGAAAATATTGAAAGTGTTACATTATTTCAACTCTAACTGTCTGTGAAAATATGTTAATGTTAACACAATTTAGTTGAGACATAATGTCCTTCACGATCTACTATGAATTTTCATTCCAAAATGCGATGCAACACTTAAACAGTTGAAATTCATTAGTAGGTTTGAAGCTCCTTTATACAAAATCTCACTTCTATATAACAGTAGTTCAGGAGCAACGTAAAATCTCCTGTAAGAGAAAAGTTATTAGTATGAAAGAATAACAAAAAACCTTTAAAAATGTTGAAAATTTTCAACCTAAGTGGTGAACTATGTACCCTTCCAGTGTACATAATTACATATTATTGGCATCCACCGAAGTACTCAGAATTTGATCCCATAGGCCTTGAGCAGTGAAAACATGTGGAATTTATTTACTTTTTGAGCAATATGAATGGTCAGAATTGCTTTATAATGCAGGTACTTTATAGGATCTCTTACAAGGAATACAGGTTTCACTTTTTATTTTAGCTATTGTTCTGTAATTCTGTCAGATTTGATTATGTACATTGGATATATCAAGCAAATATTATATACCATCACAGGAGTAAGTAATATAAATAATCAGTATACATATATATTCATAATGTTGTATTTTAGCGTCCTCTTGCACTGATTTTCATCCATGATATGTGTGTATTGGCCGTCTTGTAGTGCACTCAATTTCATGTCACTTCTTACTACATGTTTCGGCAACATAGTGCCATCTTCAGGTTCGTCACTTACGCTAAGCTATTACATTCTTTGCCATCTTGTGTCTTTCATAAAACTATCCAGAAAGCACATTATTTGTCAACCATAAAAAAATTTGTATATACTAAAACTTGTTAAGATAACTCAATCAATACGAAGACACACACACATCCAACATTACAACACTCGCAGCCAAAAAGGAAGGACACATCACAGACATAGTACACACAGAAATGACTCCCATAGTGGATGAACCATACTATACGCGAGGTTGAATTGAGACATGTAGATGAATAATCTTAACAAGTTTTAGTATATACAAATTTTATTATAGTTGACGAATAATGTGCTTTCTGGATAGTTTTATGAAAGACACAAGATGGCAAACAATGTAATAGCTTAGCGTAAGTGACGAACCTAAAGATGGCACTATGTTGCCGAAACATGTAGTAAGAAGTGACATATGAAATTGAGTGCACTACAAATGGCCATTACACACATATCATGGATGAATATATTCATAAGACTGAAAATCAATTAGTAATTTCATTATTCAAATTTTTAAAGAAACGCGTTGTTGATGATAGGTGCTGTTGTTGGTCTGTAATATAGTTATTTGTATACAGTTTTTCTCATTTTATATGCCATATTTCACAAGATGACTTCTGGACACCAATATTAATAAACAGTTCATATGAATATAAAATTCAGAGCCTTTTTTCTAGTCTCACCATCCATGGTCACACCTTAAATACTACTTAAGTTCAATAGGTCATGCATGGGAAGAGAACAACAAAAAAGTGCTATTCATAATATCTCTATTTTTGCTTTCATATAAGAGATGCTCAAAATGGTCATGATGTTTATGGACAAACAACTTAGCTCTTTTTAAAAAACTCGGAAAAATTCGAAGAATCCAGTTGCTTCACTTGCAAATTGTTGAATTTGATACCACATTGCCTCTCTAGTACTCACTGTACTACAATATACCTCATCTTCAAATATTCCCACAGAAAAAATTGAGAGGATTTAAGTCAGGTGGGCTTGCAGGCCTGCTATAGTTCATTTATTACCAAGGGCAGTGCCAAATGGATTTCTACAGTCACCATGTGATGGAAATGGGACATTTGTTTTTCAGAATGTGGTTTCAGGAGATGACATTTTTGTAACAGTTATACGTTTTTATGGAAGTCTGTCAGGGTACATCTTAATAAGAGATTTTTTACCTACTTTGATGATTAGAAACCATCCTGTAAAATATGTCATATAGTAATGAGATATTTTGTGTATTAGAAAAAATGTATTAAATCCTTATGTTTGTAGATCAATTCAGTGAAATGCTTTTTATTTTTAAAATCTTAGATAGTGCTGCACGAAGTTTATTTAATATAGTCTACTGATTTAGGAACAACTAGGATTAAAAGTATCATACCTCACAGGCACATGACAACAGTTTATTTTATTCCTAGGATTCCACTTTTATATAGTACCTTTACAATTTACAATTTAGAACTTATTCCTTGAAAATTTTATTTTTATATTTTCTACTGCAAAATCAAATCATTAAATTGTAAAAATTTTTACAAGCATGCATTAAAAATGAATTAAATATATATTTAATTCAGTTTCTTTAGTAGGATGAACCATCAGGGAGCATCAATCTGAGATTGATGTTAATAGCACTAATGCAATGTTTTTCAATGAAAACTGGTGTGTTCTGGGATGTGATTTCATATAATTGGTAGATTCTTCCCAGTGTTCTTGAGGTACAGAGTGCCTCTGTCTTTAGGGTAAAATAAATAAAGGCAGCAGAGTACTCTGAAATATGGTAATTATCTACCAGACTACACGGCATCACATCCCAGAAGACTGCAGTCTTAATATTCACTGCTGTGCGAACTTCAAATTTCATATTGTTAAATGGAGTTTACTGCAAGTTAACATTCGAAGTACACTTGTAATTGTACAGATATTTTGATTTGCAGAGTTTTTGTGGACTTTTCTTAAATTTCATGACTTATTTTTTATGTTTAACACAGATATTTACAAGTAAGGGCAGTAATTTTGTTTCTTTGGAATCTTAATGGATTCTCTAAACAAATAATTTACTCTTGTGGTCTATAAAATAAGTTACATCCATTGTTCCATGAATATATAAATCCAGATTTTATTATTTTAGGTTAGATGTAATATTACTGATAGCAAAAAACATGATGGTTGTTGGTCAGTACCACCATATTTCAAAGAGTTAAGATGTGAATATCTAAGATCAAAACAGCATACATTCTTACAAGGCTCTTAGTAGATGGTTCTGTTCACAGACCTACTAAAAGCTGGATTTTCATTGGCTGCCAGCTCAGGTTCTAAGCTCTCAGTTGATGTGGATGGTAAAAAGGATTTGACTGACTTAAACCTTCATGCTGCCCTACAAACACAACATGAAAAACTGAAGAATGTAGAACTGTCCTTGAAGAACAAGGTGAGTAGTGTTTCAAATATTTCTTAGAAGACTGAAAGGAACCTTAACAACAGTACATACTTGTATTGTATTACTCCAGCTCCTGTTTGAAGGTAAATCATATGAAACAGTGTGCTAAGCAGTGAGACCTGTGATTATTGACTCAGAAGTATTACATGTTGGAAATTGTACCTCACAAAACTGAAACTCAAGTTATAGATGTTAAGGACAGAGGGAAACATAGAGGAAGGAAGGTTGACTGTACACATGCTTATGAGTAGCTATATTATCGAACAAAGGATGCCAATGTTGTTTATACCTGAGAGATAGAGAGAGAGAGAGAGAGAGAGACAAGTTTACTTAGTACATCCATGTCTCTAAATACATTAAAAAATGTAAAGAATTTTGTTAGTAAAAAAAGTAGACAGTTGCAATATTACTGTCCATTTGAATAGCCTTAGGAGGCAGCCAACCAATGTGCAATTTCTAATGGTAAAACAAACCTTTCTTAAAAACGAGCTTTTTTCACTGGTCATTATTCGTTATTATTATGGAAATACAGAGGTACATAATATTGGTACCAGACAGAATGTTAACCTATTTCCACCGAGTACTTCACTTGCTAAAATTCAGAAAGGTGCATATTATTCAGGTATAAAAATCTACAATCATCTGCCTAAAGAGCTCAAACAATTATCCAATAACCAGAAATCCTTTGAACATTCCCTAAAAGGATTTTTACATGCTAAATCTTTTTATGCATTAAATGAGTATTTTAATTACAAATGTACATAAATTTGAATTTACAATATGTTTGGAGTAAGTGCATATATGGCTTCTTTGTAAATCCAATTTGGAATAAGAAAAACTTGAGACTCTCCTTAAATTTAAGCCCAACAAGGAATATGAAGGAACTGACATTCAAAACAAATTGGCCAGTATAATCATTTTCATGGGACATTCAGTTGTATTTAATATTTATTATAAAATACAGTAGAACTTGGTTATAACGTCATCAAAGGGACCTAAAAATAGTGTCGTTATAAACGAATGTCGTTGTAACCGAAATGGGCACTTCCACAGTAGCCTTATGTTAGTCACGTAAAAATCTACCAAAAACCGAGTTAAAATGTTGCATTTTTTAGTGAAATACGTAGTTAAGTACAGACTAACGTAACATTAACGTGGAATTGCCCAAATGTGTAATATCAAAGACATATTACAGCGCTTTTCACTGACAATACACACCGCACTAATACTGTATATTAAAGGTAGGCCTACTCACCAAATTACAGTAGATTACATCAATTGTTGTGCCTTACTGTACCTAGATACGAGTACAGTAATCAGTTATCTTCATCTGTTTCCTGTTACTTGCCCAATACACACTTTCTAAATTACGTTCAATGTCCATATCAGAGAAATTCAGGAATGAAAATGACGTTACATACGAGGTTGATGCATTTGTACATGTCGTACTAAGCAAGGTATAAAAACAGTTGCTTTATGAGGAATTAGTTCGTACCATTGAATATTTGACGCAATAGACAAGGTGTCTCAGAAACCGATGTTGCTATAACCAAGTTTTACTGTATATGTTTTTCCTTTGCAGTATGTTCAGGCACCAAAGTTTGAAGTGGATACTGATCTCCTCCTAATTGTGGATGATAAGAAAACGACAGTTGTTAGTAAATTGACACCTGGCATTGTTCCTGGTCTCCCTAATATTGACTTCACTGCCACATATCCCCAGGGCAAAAGCCGTGTTTTCCTATTTTTACAGGTTTGTACTATGTAATTTCCTACAACTCATAATTTAAATAAGAAAGAAAAGGGGGAGTTATGTTTTAGTCATTGGTTATTTTATTTGTTTACAATTGTGGGGCTCTTGTCAATGTGTAGTCTTTGTCATTACTCCGTTGACAACCCACTTCTTTGGAACAGTTTGTTGGCCCTGAAAAGGACCGTGGCTGCTGAGATGCTTGATCGGAGAGGTAGCGCGGCGTGCGCCGATAAGGAGAAAGGCTAGTTACGGTGAATGGCTGTTGAAAAGGCTAGTCATTGAGCGCGGTCGTAGGAGTCATGAGGCAGTGGCTACGCCAGATGCCCAGTGAGTCGGACCGTAGCACGACCACCGGCGAGTCCAGGCGCGGTGCCCCAGTGAGTCGGGTGTGAGAGCGCCGGAGGGCCGAGGCGGTCGTGCCTGGTGCAGCCTGCCGATACATCCGAAGACCGAGCATTGGCGACGAAGCCTGCTGGCTGAAGTTGCTTGCTGTGTGGCTTGATCGTAGACCGCAGTCGAACTGAATGGAACTGAATAACTCAGCTTTGGGGTCGCTCCTTTTTATACGCTGGTCGGTGGGGCGGAGCCAAACTCGAAAGTGAGGAGGAAGACTTGATTGGCTAGCGCGCATAATGACGTAGATGCGGGCCAGGAGGGATCCCAGTATAAATATGAACGTTTGAAGCAATTAGATTGGTTAGCGCGCGTGATGGTGAAAAGCGATGTGAAGAGCGAGCGTTGCAGAAATGCGTGATAATGTGGGATGTTCCCATACAATCAATAAATAATAATGCAGTTGGATAGAATATTGTATTCAAATGTTTAATGTTCCGAATATATTGCGTTTTCATGTTAGAAAATATGAAGTGTGGACTCTGTAATATGATATGAACTTTCACACAGACAGCCACTGATTATGAGGTTTCAGCATAGATTATCTCTTATTTTAAGGTATTTGGCCCATTGAACAGTAGGTTTGTTGTACCATATGCAATGGCTCTTTCACTTGGAGTATCAATTTCTCAGCATCTATATGTACATATACAGGTTGATCCAAAAATCCCGATCCAGCCATCCGTTGTTGAATTCACAGAACTGGATCGAGACTTTTGGATCATCTGTATGTATAATTCATAGCACACTAGGTAAGAATGTATGATTCCAGAAATATCCTGTGCATGGTGCTTCTCATTAAAAATTAAGTACAGCAAAATTTTGCTAATTTATTCTGCCTTAAACCACTTTTTACATTAATGTTTTTAGCTTTATTTTCTCCAGTCCCAGTTCCACACTGACCTTGCATTTAATAGTCAACACAATTTTATTCACAAGCCCATGAAAATTGTAGTCTTTAAGGAAATAATTCTGTCTTTTAGGCATCCTAGTTCCATCACATACTTATATCTCTAATTAATGAACATTGTAGAGTAAATATGTTTTGCTTTATTTCATCTGTGAATGTATATGTAAAGACATAAGCACTCACTATAGTTTTAGAAGTTCAGGAATTATGAAAGCTGTCATGTGTTTTACATCTTCTTTTAAACAGTCAAAGAGCAAAAATGATGTATCAGGCAAAGCTGAATTAGAGTGGCCTACAAACGGAGGTGGAAAATTGACAGCCAGTGGAAAAGCCAACTATGAATCTGCGCAGAACTTCAGGATAGAAGTGGATATTGACTCAGCTGCACTAAAATTGAACAAATGGAATATACTGTTAGCCAACAAACCTGCCAAGTCTGCCAAAACTCTGCAGATTGTAGTAAAAGAAGATAATGCACCCATCATAAATGGCAGGTGAGTTCATATCCTGTATGTATGATAGTAATTTGTTCAATGCCTGAGAACTTTATTATGATAAGTTAAGTAAGTGTACTATCCCCACAGAGATGTAATGAAGAAGGGGAGGGCAGGATGCTTTATCTAGTCTGGCTTGGGGCTGAATGGAAGGCTTAGAGAAATGGCTTTTTCTACAAAGACAAAACAACACCATCCAGTGTGACTATTTAAGCTTTATCACTTGAAAACTCATCACCCTTACATGTGTCGATCCATATGGATCATCCTCAGAGGGCATCAATACTTTTTCCAGAAACTACTATTACAGTAGGTGTTAAATTATATACATACATATATAATGTCTGAAATACGCAATGTACACACTGTTCAACTTTTCACAGTAGCCTTCCTGGTATTAAAATTTTGAAAGTTTTTAAAAACTTTGTTGTTTAAGATTAAAATTTATAAACCATGCAGGTTCGTGTCAATTCTCCTATTGTCTTTCTTGGAGGTGGCTGATCTTGTGCTGCCTGTCTGTCTTGAGGAAGGAGATTCTTAGTATCGTCCATGTTTGTTTGTGGCTTGCTGTGTTGTTTACACTTTTTCTAATTTCAAGGAAGTGCTTCTGATATACTATTACAGTTGATTCTGGTAACTGCTAGATATTCTTTCAGGGAAAACTTCACTAGATCCATTTTCTTTTACCAGCTCATGGTGAACAGTTAATCCTTTTGATACTCATTCATTCATTCATTCATTCATTCATTTATTGTATATTCCATAAATCCATATACATAGATATAGAACCAGTCACATAATTAATATAGTACAACACAAATATAAATATATATGTACAGTTCATAATCATTAAAATAGATAAAAAAAAATGTGTTAAATTTATATCAAAAAAACAGTCTTACATCACTATACATAAAACTATGCAATATTAAAATTATTTATGCTATTATCCTTATTTCTAGGCAAATTTGTTACTAAAGAATTCATCACATGTCTACTGTAGTAAGTTCATCTTCTTTGCTTAGAAAGCTTGAATTAAGCAGACACAAATAGAGTTCCTTTTATTTGAAGTTAGAATTCTTTTTATTATATCCAAGTTTATCACCATAATTAAAAAGAATGTTATGCATTTGGCACAATCCCTTTTCATCCNTGTTAAATTTACAGTCTTACATCACTATACATAAAACTATGCAATATTAAAATTATTTATGCTATTATCCTTATTTCTAGGCAAATTTGTTACTAAAGAATTCATCACATGTCTACTGTAGTAAGTTCATCTTCTTTGCTTAGAAAGCTTGAATTAAGCAGACACAAATAGAGTTCCTTTTATTTGAAGTTAGAATTCTTTTTATTATATCCAAGTTTATCACCATAATTAAAAAGAATGTTATGCATTTGGCACAATCCCTTTTCATCCGCCTTTGATCCTTCACCATAAAGTGGTCTGTGTTACAATAGCCTCACAGTTAGACAGGCATATTAAAATATGTATTCTGAAATGCAGTGCAGTCTTCTGAGAGCTTTCCCAAAATATTTTAGCCACTCAGGCAGAAGAGACAGACACTGACATTCTGGTCACTAGTGTACTGGACATTCCAAAAATCAGTACATATAGAAACAAAACTTACCAAGGTGACAGTAGATGTTTTAAATGTTCTCTGTTTTCTCATATTCATTCATACCACCTCCATAAAAAATACATTCACTCTGCGTTTTATTCAATTTTGTTTTGATTGCATAATGACCCTGTCTGTATTAATTTATTTAAGATTGTATGAATTTTTTCCTATTTGGAACCATAATATCCAGAAATGTATACCAGAATCTTCTCTGTACTTTTCTTGCAGAACCCCTTTTCACTTAGCTGTTGTATATGAACTCTCACTGATCTGAAAAGAAATTGTAATGCATACAGGTTGCTGGATTGTTTTTATAAAGTAAATTAAAGGTGTCCCTGTAACAGGCCTTGGAGGCCCATAGGTTTGTGAGATGTTGAGGTTCCCACATTTTCTAGACCATCGGCTCATAGATGGTGGTAAGGTTGTCAGCCCTACGCGCCAGCCGCCCTTTACCCCCAAGAATATTCC